TGTAGAAACAATGGCCAAACCAGTATTGAGGAGCACCCCCAGTGTCCAGATTGTAATTCTTTTTCATTTGTCAGAAAGAGGTATTGTAATACCTTTTCCCACTAAAAGAAATCAGTGCTTCTTGGAGAAATGGCTGATTCCAGGTGTGAGGCAGGAAATGTACAAAATGAGCCTTGAACTTCTTGCTATTTCAGATAGAAAAGAAGCTGATTTATTGGGAGAGGTTCCATTAATTGGTTCCATTAATTGGAAGAGGTTCCAATTAACTAAGGATGGGACAATCTGAACTTCAATAGGGATAATAATTGCAATAGATTGAACCCCATCAAATATGAACCCCATCAAAATCTAAATATATCTCTATCTATCTATCTATATAAACAACCTAATTGGTCACTTTCAGGGGATGATAGCAAACCAATTATTATCTTGAAAACTGGTAAATAAAATGAAAGAATCGGGACTTCCCTGGTGGTGCAGTGGTTGAGACTCCGCACTCCCAATGCAGGGGGCCCGTGTTCATTCCTTGGTCCAGGAACTAGATCCCACATGCATGCCACAACTAAGAGTTTGCATGCTGCAACTAAGGGTTCGCATGCCACAACTAAGGGGCCCTCGAGCTGCAACTAAGGAGTCCACCTGCTGCAACTAAGACCTGATGCAACCAAATAAATAAATAAATAAATAAACAAATATAAAAAAAAAAGAAAAGATAAGGGCTGGAGGTACAGTTTAAAAAAAAATAAAATGAAAGAATCAAGAATTTATCCTTTTTGGGAATTCCCTGGCAGTCCAGTGGTTAGGACTCTGTACTTCCACTGCAGGGGGTGCAGGTTCCAGGAACTAGGATCCTGCAAGCCGCACATGGTGTGGCAAAAAAAATTAAAAAAGAATTTATCCTTCTTTATGTCTTCATCACTAGGTAAACAAATAGTAAATGAGGAAAAATCTCTCTCATAAAAGTATTCCTTCTGACAAATGAAAAAGACATGATATCTTAGTCAGTTAGGACTGCTATAACCAATTACCTTAGACTGAGTGGTTTAAACAACAAACATTTATTTCTCACAGTTCTGGAGGCTGGAAGTCTGAGATCAGGGTGCCGGCAGAGTCAGGTTTTGGTGAGGGCCCCCTTCTGGGTTGCAGAGAGTTGACTTCTCTTTGTATCATCACATGGTGAAAAGAGCAGAGAGAGGAAGCAAACCCTCTTGTGACTCTTATAGTTCTATGCATGAGGGCTTCACCCTTATGACTGCATCTAATCCTAATTACCTCCCAAAGACCCAACCTTCTAATACCATCACATTGAGCAATAGGGTTTCAACATATGAATTTGGTGGGGGGGGGACACAAACATTCAGCCCATAACAAATGACAAATGAGAATTTCAACATTTTGCAATCACCTGTGAATAATGGATCTAAGCACTTAGCATTATTGCTTGTCAATGGCATAAACAGAGATATTACATATTTCCTGATGAAAAAGCATATACCAACCATCATCTAATCTTGCCAAAGTGATCATACATGAGTCCAATCAATCCTCTGGATCCAGGTGCCAATTTGAACAAAGTACAGAGGACAGGGACAGTGGAACATGTTGAACTGTACCATGAGGATGCAATCAGTGAAACCCAGACTAGGGGATATTATTCAGGTCAAATAGCCCTGGTTCTTCAACAGATTAATTGTAAGAAAAAGGGGAGGGGGAATGAGAAAAATGTGTAATTAAATTATATTATTAAAAACAAACAAAAAGATACATGCACTCCAATGTTTATTGCAACACTATTTACAGTAGCCAGGACATGGAAGCAACCTAAATGTCCATCAACAGAGGAATGGATAAAGAAAATATGGTACTTGGGGCTTCCCTGGTGGCGCAGTGGTTGGGAGTCCGCCTGCCAATGCAAGGGACACGGGTTCGAGCCCTGGTCTGGGAGGATCCCACATGCTGCAGAGCGGCTGGGCCTATGTGCCACGTCTACTGAGCCTGTGCTCTAGAGCCTGCGTGCCCCAACTGCTGAGGTCCACGCACCTGGAGCCTGTGCTCCACAATGGGAGAAGCCACCACAGTGAGAAGCCCGCACACTGCAACAGAGAGTAGCCCCCGCTCATCACAACTAAAGAATAGACCACGTGCAGGAATTAGGACCCAAAATAACCAAAAATAAATAAATAAATTTTTTAAAAAAATAAGATATGGTACATATATACAATGGAATATTACTCAGCCATAAAAAAGAACAAAATAATGCCTTTTGCAGCAACATGGATGGACCTAGAGATTGTCATACTGAGTGAAGTAAGTCAGACACAGAAAGACAAATACCATATGATATCGCTTATATGTGGTATCTAAAAAGAAGGGTACAAATGCACTTATTTACAAAACAGAAGTAGAATCACGGATGTAGAAAACTTATGGTTACCAGGGGTCGTGGGGAGGGCTAAATTGGGGGATTGCGATTGACATATAGACACTACTATACATAAAATAGATAACTAATAAGAACCTGTTGTACAGCACAGGGAACCCTATTCAATACTCTGTAATGGCCTAAATGAGAAAAGAGTTAAAAAAAAAGTGGCTACATGTATGTGTATAACGGAATCATTTTGCTGTACACCTGAAACTAACACAACATTGTAAATCAACTATACTCCAATAAAAACTTAAAACAAACAAACAAACCCAGGAAAGACTAAAAAAAAAAAAAAAAGAGGCAAGACCAAAAAAAAAAAAAAAGCAAGACTAAACTATAGTGTCTAGGGAAGCATACTTGGGTGGTCAAACTACAAGACAATGCAAGGAAGTTGTTATTATTATCTTTTAAATATAAATTTATTTATTTATTTATTTATTTTTGGCTGTGTTGGGTCTTCATTGCTGTGCATGGGCTTTCTCTAGCTGCAGTGAGTAAGGGCTACACTTCATTGCAGTGTGCGGGCTTCTCATTGCGGTGACTTCATTTGTTGCGGAGCATGAGCTCTAGGCGCATGGGCTTCAGTAGTTGTGATGTGCAGGCTTCAGTAGTTGTGGCACGTGGGCTCAGTAGTTGTGGCTTGCGGGCTCTAGAGCTCAGGCTCAGTAGTTGTGGCGCACGGGCTTCGTTGCTCTGCGGCATGTGGGATCTTCCTGGACAAGGGATCAAACCCGTGTTCCCTTCATTGACAGGCAGATTCTTAACCACTGTGCCACCAGGGAAGTCCCGGAAGTTATTATTATAAAAGTGAGGATGGTGGTTATCTTTCGGGAAAAGAGAGGTTTCTGGAATGGATGGAGAACTTTTATTTCTTGTTCTAGGTGATAGTTATGATGATGTTCACTTATAATGATACATTAAGCTATTTTTAAAAAGTAAATTGGAGTGCCTGGGGTATAAATCTTGAGTCGAGTGGCACATGGGCCTGCTGTTTCCTGAGCCTTATTATCTGGCCTTTCCGTTCTTTATTGATGCTATTCAGGACCATCCGATAAAACTCCTTCAGAGTCAGTTTTGCTGCTTGCAACCAAAGAATGCTAATTGATTCAAGTGGCTTTGGAAAGTTACCACTAGCAGTAAGGTGGATATAGACAACTTTTTGGAGAAGTTTTGCTATGAAGAGAAATGGACTGATAGCTAGAAAGGCATTGGGGTCAAAGGATTTTTTTTTTAATGATGGAAGATATTACATCATGTTTATATACTGATGGGAAGAACTGATGATGCTGCAGGAGAGAGTAGAGGACAAATGCTGGAGCAAACTCCTTGTGTGTGAGAAAGGGAATACAGTCCATCGAATGTGTGAGAGGACTGGTCTTAGGTAGGCACACCCTGATTCACCCCGATTAACGAAAGACAAGGAAGACTATATGGGCAAAGATATAGGCAGGTTGGTAAACTGTTGGTGGAGGTTCTTTTTTGGAAGCATCTATCAATTAAGAACAAAGGACATCATTGAGAGTGAGGAGGAAGAAGTGGGTATTGGAAGTTTAAAGGAGGGAAGAATATACATGTAATTGTAAGGAGAGTGAGATTTGGGGGAAATAGTAGGGTGGAGAGGGCAGGCCTAAGAGTCTACTTCAGTTGTCATGAATTTTGGGTAATGCCAGGCATCATAATTGCATTTAGCTGCTAAGCTGCAGGTACGGAGTAGGCAGAGAATTGATATAATAGCCATTTGGATTCTGCCAGATAAATCTGGCAAAGACAGAAAGCGGCCAGGGTGCTGAGAAGAGTTCGAGGAACTGAGAGGCCAGGGCATTGGAAAGATTACCTACATGGATACTGAAATCATCAAAAATTATTCCAGGAGTAATGTTGGGAGAGACAGAGAATTAAGGGCTAAATCTCAGAATGAGGTCCAGCAACCTGGAGATCTTACACTTGACCTCCACAAGGAAGACTTGTGGGTGATAGCATACTTATCAAATGAGCTGGTGGTTTTAGTGTGGCAATAATTGCGTAAAGTGTTAATGAGAAATAAGTAGGCTATCCACCCCATTTCCAGGTTCTGCTGTATATGGCATGTGGAGGAGAAAGTAGTCATCAATTGACAGGGTTGCAGGGGAAAGGTGTATGCGTAGGGGAGAGCCAGATTTCTTAGAGCAAGGAGATGAAAGGAACATTCATCACTTGAGGGCAAACAAGATTTTACTAATAATAGATCCCAGGCTCAGAAGTTACGCGACTTGCTCAGGGTTACACATGTAGTGAGAACAGCTGAGGAAATCCAATGCTTTTCTACTACAGTGAACAGCTTATGGTTTTTATCTGACGCAATAGGCATATACGAGAAAAGGAACTACAAAGATAAGAAAAAAAGGATCAGAAAACGCGAAGCCGCAAGACGCCAGCAAAACCCCGCAATCACGAGGAACTTCGCCAGCCCCGCAATGCCTTGTGGGTCTTGTATGCTCTCGGCTGGTCTTAACCGGAAAAGACCGAGGCAAGGGTGCATTGCATGGCGGGAGACGGTCCTCTAAAGAAGCCCCTCCTCCTCCGGAAGCCGGGTAGCGCCGGCGCAAACCGTTCTTCTGGAGGCGCGGGACGCTTCTTTTGTGGTGACTTAGGCCGTGACTTCGCTTAGGCCGCTGTGCCGTACAACCGGTAGAGGCTCTGTTTCCCTGAAACTTTAGAGTCTCAGGCCATTTGAGGCATTTAAGGCCATTTGAGGCGAAATGGTTCCGGACGAGAGAGGATCAGGCGGTGGCAATACAGGGGCCGCCGCCATCTCAGGCTGCCCGTAGGGAAAAAGCCTGAGGGGCCCTCGCAGTCGTTGGAGCCTGCGCTTTCTTCCTTTGCTGGGCCCTGCCTACTGCGAAGATGAGTTCGGCCTGGGTCCCTTCTTTCGAGAAGGAGCATCTCTGGATGTATCTGCAGGCGCTCGGCTTCGAGCCGGGCTTGGCGACCGTAGCCGGTGGAAAGATCGTGTCGCACACGCACCTCGGAGTGTAAGGAGGCCGGGGCCGACGGGGCGGGGGAGTCTGAGCCTGGCCGTGCTGGCGTGACCCGCCTTGTTGCGGACCTCGTAGGTTGATGAATTAAGTAGTCGGTTACTGGGGCCCGGCACTGGCTGCAGAGTTCCTGCTTCCAGTGGCAGCCAGCCTGGTGGCAGGAGACTGTCTGTTACGGGACCTTGCCGGGAGCGCCTTGTAGGGGAGTAGAGTCTGCAGTTGGGGCGAAACTGAAGGGGCGGCTTATTCCTGCTTTGGTAGTGAAGCTGGGTGGTCTGTGAAGTCGAGGGAGAGGTGGCGGTTTGGTAACGGAGGGACTTGGGAACGCCTTCCGTTAGGTGCAAACGCCTTTAGGACTCGAGGGAGACTTTCAAGGTAGTTGATCTTTAGTTTATAATTTTCACTAACTGAAATAGCAGGCTGAAGCTTGCCACAGTTAGCAAAAAACTAGTAGAGAGTGGTATTAAGATGAAAAGTGAAAAAAAGCCCCTTCCTGCTTTGCTACAGATGTTACAGATCTCATCATAAAACTTAATGCTTGGGCTTCCCTGGTGGCGCAGTGGTTGAGAGTCGGCCTGCCAATGCAGGGGACACGGGTTCGCGCCCCGGTCCGGGAAAATCCCACATGCCGTGGAGCGGCCGGGCCCGTGAGCCATGGCCGCTGAGTCTGCGCGTCTGGAGCCTGTGCTTCGCAACGGGAGAGGCCACAACAGTGAGAGGCCCGCGTACCGGAAGAAAACAAAAAACTTAATGCTTTGTTTATATTTCTATGTCTTAGCTTATCAACTTTAGACAGTCTCTATTATCTTGCCCACTATAGGCTAAGGAAAATTTGGGATACATAGGCTATCTCCTGTTCTCAATCTTCTTGACTTTTGTAATTACGTTATTTCCGTTTTTCTTGTGGCAGTATTTAAATGATGTGCTTAGACCTCTGTTTCGTGGTGTATCAATCTCAAAAGTATCTCTGGATTCCCCACGATGTAATTTCACAGTGAAGGCTGCTATTTATACGATAATTAGCGCACCTACACTTACCTACCCTCTGCCTTCTCCCTCTTGACTTTTTTCAGCTGTATTAGAACTGTTTTACTGTCAAGGTTTAGAGCTGTAATTAAGTTTTGTTTGGTAACTGTTTGGAAGTTACTACTATTTATATGTAGAAAGGTTTTGTCTAGAAGTCTAGTCTAAAAATTGACAACCAGTGGGTAGCATTTTTCAGGTTATGATTATGTATTAATAAATGTGGCACCTATCTCACATGATTTGATGCCCCACCATATGGCAGAAAAACTTAAAGCTTCTCCCAGGCCTCCACTGAGGATGGTTCCCATTGCCACTGCATCCTCTCTATTGTTTTGGCAATCTTAGTTTTCTCTGCTCTGGCTTATTCAATTGCAGTCTTCTTTCTGCCTTTGAAAATTAAATAAAATCTGCCAAGTTCTGGTTCAGTGATGATAGTTTTTTTTTTAAACATTGTTATAGATTCACTGCCCCCCTCCCATGTCTTTAGAGTTGTCTCAGTTGGTTAGTGGGAGGGATATACTAAAACAGATGTCCCCTTTAAAATGCTTTAAGCAAGAATGGCATCAAATTTACTTCAAAATTAAAACATTTTTTTGATTCACTTATGTTTACATATGTTAGAATTCATTCTTTTTGGTGTGCAGTTCTATGTGTTTCTAGTTTCTGTGAGCATGTAATTGTGTAGCCACTTTTCTTATAAAGTTAAATGTACATTTAACATATGATCCAGCAATTCCATTCCTAGGCATCTGCCCAAAAGATTTGCATTTTGGAAAAATCATTCTGGTTGCATTACAGAGAATGGATTAGAGGGGGAATCAGGGCTTTGCAGTTAGGTAGACATAAACTAAGGAGTCAGTGGGAATGGAAAGGAAAGGTGATTCATTCATTTGTAGGTTTTTTTTTTGCTTGGAAGGTGATTCGCTTTTATTTATTTTGCCAGTGAATGTGTAAGAGCAACATATACATTCTTTTGTCATCTATTTAGGAAAAATTTTGAAAGCTGAAGGATAATGTCGAGCCATATTCACTATGAGATATAAGCCTAAACAAAATTTCTATTCCAAGGAAGAAAAAAAAATCCAGTTTTCCCAAAGGAAAACTTTATCTGCTTTCCTTACATTGAAATGCAGGTATTGCTGAAAACCAGTTTTTAATCCTCCACTTGACACACAGCCTGAAGTGTAATTAGCTAAGTTTGCAAGAGGGGGTTATTTTGTTAGGGTCCGAGATGTGTCTTTATCACACAGCAATGTGTTTGTTTGTTTATTTATTTATTTATTTTGGCTGCGTTGGGTCTTTGTTGCTGCGCGCAGGGTTTCTCTAGTTGCAGCGAGCGGGGCTACTCTTGTGCGGGTATCTCATTGCAGCGACCTCTCTTGTTGCAGAGCCTGGGCTCTAGGCACGCGGGCTTCAGTAGTTGTGGCACACGGGCTCAGTAGTTGTGGCTCGTGGGCTCTAGAGCGCAGGCTCAGTAGTTGTGATGCACGGGCTTAGTTGCTCTGCGGCATGTGGGATCTTCCTGGACCAGGGCTCGAACCCGTGTCCCCTGCATTGGCAGGCGGATTCTTAACCACTGTGCCACCAGGGAAGTCCCGCAATGTGCTTTTTACAAGCAGACTTGTGGACCATGACTAAAGGACATGTACAGATTCCAGTTCAATACATGACAAGGCATTTAAGGGGCTGCCAATAGAGCTGACTTTTTGATTATTCTAGAAAGTAGAGACTCATCAACGAACACAGTAATCCCACTCTGCAAAGCTGGAGGCTGGCTAAAAGGAGCATTCCCACCAGACTTTCTGTGCCATAGCAAAGGAGATGCAGAGTCTGTGGCTGGGTACACTAAGACATTGTTAGACCTACTGTACAACTGTGCACTTCATAACAGGGTAAAATTGCAGTAGTAAATTGTCTAACATTTTTCTGAGGTTATATTCCATAAGCTTAAAATTCAGATGTACTTATTTAAAGCATTCAAAACATTGGGTTCTAAGAATGTTTATGCATAAGGTTAATATCTGCCCTATAGAGATTTATATATTTTTGCACAAATACCTCCAGTTTATCTGAATGCATCGGTTTTGGACCAGCAGCTCCTGGCATTGGGAGAGGTGGGTTTCCAGAAATCAGCACAGCTACATTTGGTAAAAGTTTGGCAGGGACCAGGCCCATCCCAGGATGAGGTAAGTAGGGATTGAAAGCCATGGCAGGATTAGCTTCCAGGGATGGAGTCACAGGAAAAGAAGTAAGTGATGACATTTGAGCATTTTGGAGCATAAACTGTATCTTCTGGGTGAACATGGCTGCAGCAGTCTTTTGTTGAATCAGATTGTTCCGTCCATTAATTTCCAGCTGCATTTTTAAATGTGGAGGAGGGTGAAGGTACTTGCAGTTCTCTCTAGCACACCGACCCTTAAGGTCATAAGCAGCCCCCTCCATGGAATCAGCCCAGGCTCTACTAGGCCTTCAGTTGCCCGAAGCAAAGCAGAAGGCACTCTCAGCCCCCCATTCATTTGTTTATTCAACAGATACTAATTGAACACAGTATTGGACCTGGGTATACAGTGGTGAACAGAGCAAACGTGAACTTTTCCCTTATAAAATTTCAGTCCAGTGGGTGAGCAAACCTTTAACAAATATCTTTTTAAAAATTAGAAGTGTTGAAGAGAACAGGATACTATATGAAAAAAATAGCAGGTTTGAGAGATGATAAGGAGGTAGGAACTTCATTTGTATTTGTTGAGGAATAGAAACATTCCAAGGATAAAAGAGTTGTTTGACAAAAGGATAAGCATGGGAATTTTAATGTTAACTCTTTTTTCCAACTCAAAGCTTATTTCAGGAAAATAGCTTTATGTGTTCACGGGAGTACTCAGATCTATTTGTCATGTCATCTGTATTATGCAGATAATCAAACTGCTTTCTAATGTTGTTGGGATTAGATAAAATACTTCATGTTAAAGCTGCAAGCACAGCTATTAACTTCATATGATTGCACTGAAGATTAGATGAGTTGCTGCTTGTAAAAGGCTTAATTAAAATAATATCTGATAAATAATAAACTCAATAAATATTTAGCTGTTTTTATTGTCAGAAAATGTTGGTGGGTATCATCATTTTCACCATATGTTAGACCATGGTTTTCTCTCTACCTAATTAGTCTTTCCTTTTCTTTTTGTAGAATGTTTTCATTGGCAGTAAAGCCAATTCTTCTAGTTTTCTTCTAATCGATCTACATTTTCAGAATGAAAACAAAAACTTGTATGTGTTTAATTGTTTATAAATATATACATGAATTAGAAAAATTAATTTGCCTTGACCTCTTGAACAGAATGAAAAATATTAATAGGCCAGACTCTTAAACAGCTTTTGATGATGCTTAGTTTTATTAACCTTTTTCTTTTTTCTTTCCTACTTCTATTTCTTTTTAAACCATTAGGAACATGTTTGACAAGTTGAACCGTGATGCCTTTCAGATAGTTTCTTATTTTTTGTTTCAAACGCTTGACCAGTCTCTCACTAAAGAAGTTTTCAAGTGAGTAAAAGTTATTTCATTTTCTTTTTGTAGGGGATTTAAAAAGGGATTAAGACTTTATATAAGCCAGAATTTCAACTTTGGACTTCAACTATTATTTTGAATGGATGTTATAAAAATTAGGCTTGAGTCTTACAAATTTAGTACTTAACCTTTATAAATCTGAGTGATTTTTTTTTGTAAAATTATTGTAAATTAAAATAAAAATATAAAAATGTGAATATTCACTAGCCTTGGTTCTAAGTTATTTTGCATGTGATTTGGGTTTCATCTATAAGAAAAAGTGTTCAAATTTGTTTTAATATTTATATTGTGCCCTCATCCTCTTATATAGTAAGTCCATTGTTTAGGGCATTGTTTTTATTTGTGGTAATTTATTTTTAATATTTTGCCTTCAGTTAAAGTTATGAGTGACCAGGAGAACAAGTGTATTTGAAACATATTTTCGAAATCCCTATCATTAAGGTATAGGGCGTCCTCTGCTCAAATAAAAATAGATTTTTTGATTTTTTTTCTAGATTATAAACAAAATACAGCTTACTTTAACCAGTTCAGCAAATACAGGAAACGTTAAAGAAGGAAGTAAAAATTATTCCTAAACCCAACTAGAGAATATCACTGTTGACATTCCAGCTTTTTAGTCTTTTTTTCTTTGCATACTTAATTTTTTTCTATGAATATAGCATGTAAGTTATGCTATAGAAATACAAAAAAAAATGGGGCCCTAATCAAATAATTGCCTCATAATAAAAATTTAGACAAAACATTATAAGGAGAAAGCAATAGGCAAATTTTAAAGTTCATTATTTTTGACTAAAACTGAATTTTTAATAATTTCATATCTTGTTTGTCCACAAAACAGTAGCACCCCTCACTGTAATATAGGTTATCTCTAGGGGTCATGATCTCTTATGCCATTCTTTCTGTGCTTTTCATGTGTAACCATGTGTTTTTCTCTTTTTCCCCAGGCATTAATTATTATCCTAATTTATTTATACCATCTTTATGCATTAGTCCAGTGAATTCATTGAGAGTGTTGTCTTCTTTAGCTGATTTTCAGTAATTTTAATAGTGATTCTCCCTATATTTAACTTATATATTCATTGATAATTTGCACTAAACTGAATTCAACTCTATAGATATTCATAAAGAAAAAGACCTAATTTCTTACAGGTTGGTGTTTCTCTTTAGTTGAAATTTATGAATGTTAGCCTTGATTTAGCATTAATATTTCTAGTATAGGAGATAATTTTGATGTTTTAAAGTTTTGCTGAGTTTGCTTTTTTATTCATAATTCTAATTTTTATTTTTGTTTTAAAGACTTTGTTGGCCTCCATTTGACCAAAAAAGTGATACTGAATTCCGAAAACATTGCTGTGAATGGTTAAAAAAGATTTCTGTAAGTATTTTCTTTCTGAAAGGTGCAAACGTTTAAGAGGTAATTTTTTTTCAGGCTTTATTGAGGTACATTAATTTTTTTAGAGGTGAAATCTTTTTAGTGCTTTTATGCTAACAGTATAAGCAAGAAATACTAATCAGGATAATACTTTCTGGTGGTTTTTGGTTGGGATTCTATATTTCTGGGAAGCCAGCTTTGTTGGCTAAGTGCATTAGAAATAGGTTTTTGAGTTCCTGGGAATTTATATCACAGTTTCTGTTTAAAGAAAAATTTTTTTTTACCATAGATTATTTTAGCTTATGTCCCCAAATAGTATCAATAATTGTGGCTTTAAATTTTAATTGCTTTTTGTGACTGAGTCCACCAAGAGTTTAGAAGGATTCAAAAATTCAACTTGTGGTTCAAATGGAATAATTCTGGTAAACCCTGTTATGCTTCAAAACAGTGTGATGTAAATATAAAGGTTGTTGTTGTTAAGGTCTTCAAATCATCTTGTTTCTTTTTTCCATAGGCTGAATGTGGAAGTAGCTTCCCTCAAGTTGTTGGTTCACTATTTCTTTCTCCTGGTGGTCCTAAGTTTATTCATCTGATGTATCACTTTGCAAGATTTGTTGCAATAAATTATATAAAAACCCATTCTAAAAGTAAGTTAAGCTCACAGTAGGAGTTTTTTTTGTTTTGATTCTTAAGTTTTTATTATTTTTTATAATTTGTAAATCATTAAGAGATTTTAATAAAATAAAATAAGATAAAAATATTACTTTACCTCAAAAGGCAAATGGTTAATATTTTATTGGAACTGTAGTTTGAAATCCTCTTGTAATGAACATAGGTAGCAATACAGATTATTTTCTTATGTTCTAATACAGGGGTTGGGAAACATTTTCTGTGTAAGGCCTGACAGTAAATATTTTATACTTTGTGAACCACATAAGAGTGTCTGTCACATATACCTGTTTGTGAGGGTTGTTAAATTTTTATTTTTTGTAATATAACCCCTTAAAATGTAGAAAGCAGTTCTAGCTTTCTGATCTCAGAAAAACAGCCAGTGGGCCAGGTTAGACCTGCAGGTTATAGTTTGCCTATAATTCATTGTATTAAATGTTGTGTTGAATTTGTTAGAGATTTATTTTGGCTACTGGCAATGTGTTGGAATATTTTGGTTCACAATTGCTGTTTTAAAGGGATTTGATCTATTTGCTAAATTATAGAAACAAAATATTGGATTTTTCACCTAAGACTTAAAAGAATGCTATTTGTAGCTTACTAAGTATGCTGCTCAGTTTAATTGAGTTATGCTCATAAAACATGGGAGGTAAAAGCTGGAAAAGTTGATGCAATAATAGCCCATCTTCCAATTTCTAGAGACAACCATTGCTTATATTTTGGTTTGTTTTCTTTTAGGTGTTTTTGTTGTTGTTGTTGTTTTTTTAAATGCACATATTATATGTTTTAATTATTTTGAATAAATGATAGATTCTCATGATTCAAAAATCAGGAAGTGAAAAGTGTGTCTTCCATCTCTAACTACCTAGTTTCCCTTCCCAGAAGCAACCATTGTAATGAATAATACTAGCAAATGTGTATATATTCTGTTTTTTAAACCCTAAATGGTGACATACGTCTGGGTTTGAATCTTGTGTTTTTTATGCAGCAGTGTCTATTGGAGATCATCCCATGTCAGTTCATAGATCTTCCTTACTCTGTCTCTCTCTTAAGAACTGCATATTTGAATGGATGTGTCATAGTGTATTTAATCACACATTTGTTCTGAAATCAGCTCTGCTGACAGACAGTTGGCTTTTTTCCTAATCTTTTGCTATAAAAATAATGCTACAGTGACAAACTTTATACATATATCATTTTGTGTATGTACAAGTATATATTGTATGTGTGTGTGTGTATACATATATATGTATATATGCACTCAAACACATACCTTTTTTCCAGTTTATCTTCTGTGTGTGATTTTTTAAAACATGTACATGTGATCTTGCTTTATAAGCATTTACATATTTTATTTATTTATTTTTAAAATTTATTTATTTATTTATTTTTTGTGGTACGCGGGCCTCTCACTGTTGTGGCCTCTCCCGTTGTGGAGCACAGGCTCTGGACGCGCAGGCTCAGCAGCCATGGCTCATGGGCCCAGCCACTCCGCGGCACGTGGGATCTTCCTGGACCGGGGCACGAACCCGTGTCCCCCGCATCGGCAGGCGGACTCTCAACCACTGCGCCACCAGGGAAGCCCTACGTATTTTAAATTTAATGTAACATAAGCATTTTACCAGCTTTTCTGTTAGATTTATTCCAGTTACATGTAACCCAAACTATTTTATATGAATTATGTGTATTTGGATTTGGCAAGATTTATTGTACATAAGGCTTTTAAGCATGGGTTGTCATATTTCTCATTTAAAGCAGTTTCATTCAACATATTCAGTCTCTAGGTGACTTCTACATCCAGCGAACTCATCCCCTGTTAAATATTTAGGCGTTTTGGTTATTTCTTTGCGGGTAATCTAGGACCTGGATTTACAATGTTAAGTATGGTGTGGGGTCACTCTTTTCCAGAATATCCATCTTTATTGTATTGAGCCATCTTAAAGTAGGATTTATTACATTTTATTACAGGTGAAAACCTGGACTCTCAAATGTTTAGATGGATTGTTGTCAGGGTCTGCTTTGATCATTAGTAACATAGCCAAGAATTACTTGAGAAATAGAGATTGGTTTTATTTGGTTGTCTTGTCCTGTTGATCTTACTAGGAAGAAAAGTACGCTGATGGCAGCAATGAAGGTGATGTGATCTCACCTCATCTCTTTTAATTGATTTTCTTCCTTTGTTAAAAGATCAGTTGAGAAGTTGCTTATGTGTGATGATGTATTTGTTCATGGATGTATCACGCTGTGATAATAAGAATTACTTGGGGCACATGGACTCTGAGAATTTTTAATTATGTAAAATAACTCAACTTCAGATATCCTTTTTTATTGCCTCATTTAAAAATAGGTCATCCTTGCTTTTGCTGAAATTAGTTGTATCTTTTTGTGTATGTGGCATGCCAGCTCTTAAGGAGTTGTTAGTTAAATGAGGTTGTTAATCTCTCAGTAATCTCACACTTTTATATTTATTAGCTTGTACGTCTAAGTTTTGTGTATTTTATTTGTGTTCTGTGTAGATTCTTCTGTACATTTTACAGAGACATTTAACATAAAGCCACAAGATTTGCACAAGTGCATTGCCAGATGCCACGTAGCACGTAACAGATTTTTACAAATTTTGCAAAGAGAAGATTATGTTACCCGAAAATACCAGGAAAATGCACAGTAAGTAATACTGTGATAGTTAGAAAACTGTGATAGTTAGAAAATGTAAATTCCTTTCTTTATGAACAAATGTCATCAGTATCCTTTTTTTTAACCCATTGGTGTATGCACTTTATTTTTAATTCTATCAATATTTATTTATTTATTTAATTTATTTTTGGCTGCGTTGGGTCTTCGTTGCTGTGCGCGGGCTTTCTCTAGTTGCGGTGAGTGGGGGCTACTCTTCATTGTGGTGCACGGGCTGTTCATTGCGGTGGCTTCTCTTGTTGTGGAGCATGGGTTCTAGGCGTGCGGGCTTCAGTAGTTGTGGCACATGGGCTTAGTTGCTCCGCAGCATGTGGGATCATCCCGGACCAGGGCTCGAACCCGTGTCCCCTCCACTGGCAGGCAGATTCTTAACTACTGCGCCACCAGGGAAGTCCCTCATCAGTATTCTTTCAATGGCAATAATTCATGTCTACCTCAAAACCCCCTGGCTGTTATCTTTCCTTTTTTTTTTTTTTTCCCCCCTCGGTACGCGGGCCTCTCACTGTTGTGGCCTCTCCCGTTGCAGAGCACAGGCTCTGGATGCGCAGGCTCAGCAGCCATGGCTCACGGGCCCAGCTGCTCCGCGGCATGTGGGATCTTCCTAGACCAGGGCATGAACCCGAGTCCCCTGCATCGGTAGGCAGACTCTCAACCACTGTGCCGCCAGGGAAGCCCCTATCTTTCCATTTTAAAGCCTGATAACTTCTGAATAAAGTGTTTTATAACTTTAGGCATACTGTAAATGAAAATTTAGAGAAAAGGAAGATATCATTTTAGTTCAAAAACTCAATTTCTTTAGGTGCTTTTTCTTTTAAACATGGAAATAAATTTTTAAGCTGTAATTATAGTGCTCATTCTATTTTGTATCCTTTTTTCTCTTAATATTTCATTCTATAAATTTTTCCATACTGCCATAATGTATTACTTTTAATTTCTACTTAGTGTCTTAGTTGAAGAGGTATTCCATAGTTTCTTTAGCCATTTTATACTGTCTTACATTTACATTCATCTATTCAGCACTTTTCTTTCTTGAGTTACTTCTGTGTGCTGGATATTGGTTATACACTAGTCCTACAGCATTAAACAAGACAAGCAAGGTTCTTACTCTCTAGACATAAATTGTGTCCAATTTTTTACAATTATAAACAACTATAGTAAGATAACTTTTTAAATGCTGTTTTCTATTCCCAAAGCTACAGAATCCTTTGACATCTCCTTAAAACTACAATGTTGCCTGTTTTAGGTAACATTTAAAATTATCCCCATGGTATGTGAGATAAGGATAAGAGAGCAGAGTAGTCTTAACTGACTTCCAACATTTTTACTTGAAGTCAGAGAGTATATGAGCCAAGAAGTCCTGGTCCATTTCAATAGCCGCGTATATGTTAGACCACTCCTGTAAGTCTTAAAGGGAGTCTGGAGTCCCTTTATGACTGTCTGCTGGGTATAATTGGAAGAGTAGTCCTCAGAGGCCTTGAGCAAAGATATGAAATGAGGGAAAATATCAAAGCGGGCTATACTAGTTAGTTGTAATAGATTTACAGTTGTCATTTTGTATGTTTTCTTCCAGATTATCAGTTAAACAAATACAGAACTTGAGATCAGAATGTATAGGACAGCAAAACGAGATAAAAAAGTAAGTGACTTTTAGAGTTGAAAGTTCCTTGAGATACTAGTTTAGCTTCCTGCATGTTACCGGTAAGGAAACTGAGATTAGTTAAAATAACATATCAATAGCTAGTTGATAATAGGATGGGAACATAATTCTGATTCCTAGTCCAGTTCTTCTAATAAGTTATGATAGCTTTGAGCTTGAATTTTATTTTTGCTTTTAATAGGTGGTTGTTAGCAGGTGGGTTTGCAGATTAATTAGCTCTTTGGATGGTAAATTACCATATGGTTTTTTTATTGACTAATGAGATTATTTAATTTTTAACTAGAATGGAACCCTATGATGACCAAAGTAATATACAAGAGAAAATTCAAAAGGTGAGACTTTTTTTTTTGAATTTTATTTTATTTATTTTTTATACAACACGTTCTTATTAGTTATGTATTTTATACATATAGTGTGTATATGTCAATCCCGATCTCCCAGTTCATCGCACCCCACCCCCCATTCCCCCCTTGGTGTCCATATGTTTGTTCTCTACATCTGTGTCTCTATTTCTGCCTTGCATACTGGTTCATCTGTACCATTTTTCTAGATTCCACATGTATGTGTTAATGTATATTTGTTTTTCTCTTTCTGGCTTACTTCACTCCGTGTAAGACAGTCTCTACGTCCTTCCACGTCTCTACAAATGACCCAGTTTCGTTCCTTTTTATGGCTGAGTAATAATTCATTGTATATATGTACCACATCTTCTTTATCCATTCATCTGTTGATGGGCGTTTAGGTTGCTTCCATGACCTGGCTATTGTAAATAGTGCTGCAGTGAACATTGGGGTGCATGTGTCTTTTTGAATTATGGTTTTCTCTGAGTATATGCCCAGTAGTGGGATTGCTGGGTCATATGGTAATTCTGTTTTTAGTTTTTTAAGGAACCTCCATACTGTTCTCCATAGTGGCTGAACATAGTGGCTCCATACTGTTCTCCACCAACAGTGCAAGAGGGTTCCCTTTTCTCCACACCCTCTCCAGCACTTATTGTTTATAGATTTTCTGATGATGCCCATTCTAACCGGTGTGAAGTGATACTTCATTGTAGTTTCGATTTACATTTCTCTAATAATTAGTGGTGTTGAGCAGCTTTTCATGTGCCTCTTGGCCATCTGTATGTCTTCTTTGGAGAGATGTCTATTTAGGTCTTCTGCTCATTTTTTAATTGGGTTGTTTGTTTTTTTAATATTGAGCTGCATGAGCTGTATATATATTTTGGAGATTATTCCTTTGTCCATTAATTTGTTTGCAAATATTTTCTCCCATTCTGAGGGTTGTCTTTTCGTCTTGTTTGTAGTTTCCTTTGCTGTGCAAGAGCTTTCAAGTTTCATTAGGTCCCATTTGTTTATTTTTGTTTTTATTTCCATTACTCTAGGAGGTGGGTCAAAAAAGATCTTGCTGTGGTTTATGTCAGAGTGTTCTTCCTGTTTAAGAGTTTTATAGTGTCTGGTCTCACATTTAGGTCTTTAATCCATTTTGAGTTTATTTGTGTATGGTGTTAGGCAGTGTTCTAATTTCATTCTTTTACATGTCCAGTTTTCCCAGCACTGTTTATTGAAGAGATTGTCTTTTCTCCATTGTATATCCTTGCTTCCTTTGGCATAGATTATCTGACCGTAGGTGAGTGGGTTTATCTGTGGGCTTTCTATCCTGTTCCATTGATCGATATTTCTCTTTTTGTGCCACTACCATATTGTCTTGATTACTGTAGCTTTGTAGTATAGTCTGAAGTCAGGGAGCCTGATTCCTCCAGGTCCATTTTTCTTTCTCAAGTTTGCTTTGGCTATTCGGAGTCTTTTGTGTTTCCATACAAATTGTAAACTTCTGTTCTAATTCTGTGAGAAGTGCTATTGGTAACTTGATAGGGATTGCATTGAATCTGTCAATTACTTTGGGTAGTATAGTCATTTTCACAATGTTGTTTCTTCCAATCCAAGAATATGGTATATCTCTTCATCTGTTTGTGTCATCTTTAATTTCTTTCATCAGTGTCTTATAGTTCTCTGAGTACAGTTCTTCTACCTTCTTAGGTAGGTTTATTCCTAGGTATTTTATTCTTTTTGTTGCAATGGTGAATGGGATTGTTTCCTTAATTTCTCTTTCTGAGAGACTTTTTTTTTTTTTTTTTTTTTGTGGTACGCGGGCCTCTCACTGTTGTGGCCTCTCCTGCCGCGGAGCACAGGCTCCGGACGCGCAGGCTCAGTGGCCATGGCTCACGGGCCCAGCCGCTCCGTGGCATGTGGGATCTTCCCGGACCGGGGAACGAACCCGTGTCCCCTGCATCCACAGGCAGACTCTCAACCACTGCGCCACCAGGGAAGCCCCAAGACAACTTTTGAAGGGAGGAATTTAATCTTTCTTTTGTGTTATGCAGTGTTTACTTAATTGAACTCGTATATCTCTCTTTGTAGCAGTGTTTTCGTTTGTTTTTCTTTTTTTTACTCATTATAAGTGACATATGTATAAAAGTATTAACAGAGTGCCTTTAGAACACTTGAATATAATGGAAAAATTAGCTTATAATCTATCAGACTAAATATATACAAAAGCGGTTTTAAATTAACCAGTTTAAATTTGGTTAATTTAAAATCTTTCATGCCAGCAGGGAAAATTCAGCTTGATTCTAACTTAATCAGTAATATTTATCTAATAAAATACATTACGTGAAGGCAGATGGTAAGTATGGAAGAACGATGAGAAGTCATGTTGAGGCTGACATGGCAGTAGAGAGGAATCTGGCAGATATAAATGATCTGAGGCTTTCAGAGGTTGGCTTTAACAAATGTGGGTAGGAGTGTTTTCTTATACCTTTGTGTTTGGATGAAATGTCTCTCAAGCTCTTTTGATTCCATGGTCACCAAGCTGCCTTGGGGTATTAATTTGGCTTTTTAGGCACTTTGTCACTGGAAAAGGTGAGTGCCCTCCTCAGGTAGTAATTATTCATTAATTCAGTGAATATTTATTGATCAACTGCCATTTGCTAGGCATTCTTCTAGATATTATGGACTAGAGCACTGAAGAAAACAGGCAGAGTCACTTCCTTTATGGAGCTTCCAGTTTAGTGAATATGAATATTCCTATCGCTGAATGTAGTATCTTTGATTGTAGGCTTAATAGGTTAGGTTGGTATGAAACCCGTTAAGAGTTTTCATAGCAGTCTCTCTTGAGTTTGGGTAATGTTCAGTTTTCCCTGAGTCCAGTCAACTTTGAGCCATTGAGAAGGTAAACTTTCTAGATTTGAAAAATCTGAGAACCAGATCCTGGATCTTTGTATGTTCACCAAGGAAATGCCATCCTATGAGATCTTTAGATGGCCAGCCAATGAGTCTTCCTTTGGGGAAACAACTTTACTTTGTACTGTGAGAAGACACAGACACTAACACAAATATAATTAGTGTATTTCCCCTCCTCTTTCCCACTTAAGTAAATTCTTTTGAGGCATAACATACATATAAAGACGTGCAAAAATTGTAAGTGTGAAGCTTGACAAAATTCACAAAGTGGACACATCCGTGTAACCAGCATCCAGTTAAAGAAACAGAATGTTACCGTCACCCCAGGAGCATTGAGCCCCCTTTCTTTCATGACCATTTCCTTCCAAGAGTAAACACTATCCTCACTTCTTTTTTTGTTTGTTTGTTTTTTTAAAATTAATTTATTTAATTTATTTTTGGCTGTATTGGGTCCTCATTGCTGCATGCAGGCTTTCTCTAGTTGTGGCGAGTGGGGGCTACTCTTTCTTGTGATGTGTGGGCGTGAGCTTCTTATTGCGATGGCTTCTCTAGTTGCAGAGCATGGGCTCTAGGCACACAGGCTTCAGTAGTTGTGGCATGTAGGCTCAGTAGTTGTGGCTCGCAGCCTCCAGAGTGCAGGCTCAGTAGTTGTGGCGCACGGGCTTAGTTGCTCTGCGGCATGTGGGATCTTCCTGGACCAGGGATCGAACCCGTGTCCCTGCATTGGCAGGCAGATTCTTAACCACTGCACCACCAGGGAAGCTCTATCCTCACTTCCTATGCTAAAGATTAATTTTGCCCGTTCTTGAACTTTGTGTAAATGGGGAGTGTATAGAATATATTCTTTTGTGTTCGACTTCTTTCACTCATGCTGTTTTATCCATGCTGTTGTATGTGTTCATTCTCATTGCTGTATAATGTTCTATTTTATGATTAAAGGAAAGTATACTTTTTATTCAAGGTAGTTCTTTGGGTTGATTGCAGTTTTTGAGTATTACAAATAGTGCTGTGAACATTCTTTTATGTGATTTAATAAACATAGCTTAATGCATGGTTTTCAACATTTTAACTTTTTGAAACTTGAATGACTCTTAAAATTGATGTGAGTGTTTTTATTTTCTCCTGAAAATCTTTTATTTTCCCTGATGGCATCTCAGAATACAGGAAATGCTAATTGCATCTCCGTAGTATAAGGTTTCTTAGATATGTTTTGCAAATCATAGTGGGCTAGATTCTCCTGAGAAATTCTTTAAAGTGCCCTTGAAAGTAATATCAGTGCTTTTAGACTGTTAAAATAGTTACTTTTCTTACCAGAAGCCATTCCAGGAATACCTAATTTGTTCCTAGGAATGAGCATATATTTGTATTTTACATATCTTTATGTATAGATTATGTATAGACTTTAATAATTCCTTTGTCTCTGTTTTTGAAGGTTCGGTCTTTGTGGGCTTCAGTGAATGAAACACTCATGGTTTTGGAAAAAGAGAGAGAAGTTGTTAGTTCAGTCCTTAGTGTTGTTAACCAATATACTTTAGATGGAACTAATGTTGCTATCAATATTCCAAGGCTCTTACTTGACAAAATTGAGAAACAAATGTGTCAGGTAAGCATTTGATAATTAAGGGAGCTTTGAGAAAACTCCCTTCACAGAATTTTTTTATATGTTGTATATTGTTTTTCTCACAGTGTTTTTCTACTGTTTTCAGAATTTACCTTTGTGAATATATCTGGTAAGAGGGGTACTGTTAAAGGTGTTTATATTCACATCTATTGACCTTTATTCATTGTCCGAACGTTGTACGGCGCTACATCATATAGTGTAGAGAGTAGAAGGTACTTAGTAGGAAGATGATATGGTACTTAGTTTTTTATAAATTCTCAAAGAGAGCACCAATGATCTCCTGAATGCTAAATTTCTTTTAAAAAACTCTTCTCTCGGTTTTCTTTCGTCTTGATGGTATTAAATGTTTTAAAGTGTTTTCTTCCTTTAGCTTTTGTGACCTCAGTGTTGTTGTCTTCCTGTGGTGTTTCAGACTGCTGTCTCCAGTTTTCCACTGGTTCCTTTTTCTCTAACTTTTAAATGAACATGTTCCCCATGGTTCCTTTAATGGCCCCTTTTCTTTCCCACATTATAAATCCATCTGTATTTTCTTACCCAATTCCATGGCTTCATCAGCCTCCTATACAATAATATTACCAGATTGGTATTTCCAGTCTCTCCCCTTCAACTCAAACTACATCAAATTATTTCCACTTGCTTATGGGACATTTCCATCTGAATAGCCTACGTTTATTTTTCTTAGTAAACTTAAAATTTTTTGAGCATCTCCTATGTGCCAGATATTATTATAGTGAAGGGGATATAAAGATAAAATATTGTTGTGACCCTGAAGAGTTTTCACTTTAATAGGTAACATGTCAGGCACTTCAAATTCAGAGTACATAAAAATCAGGATCTGTAAACTCAGATTCCTACAGGGGCTAGGCAGGTAATACTATATAGATGAAGTATGCTAATTATGTGTAACAATAGGGGTAAAGTAGGAAATGATGAGATCTTTGGGGTACTAATTTTGTGTGAAATCTGTGATTTTAAAAAATATTAGCAACTAATTCAGATGATTTTAAAACATTGGAACTGTGTAGGCCAAATAAACATGTCTTAAGTTTGGAATCAACGTTTAGGGGTCCTTTAATTTGCAACTTTTGGTAAAACATGAATTCATGATCTTTCTCCAAACCTGATCTTTCTCCTCAGTCTTTATTTTGCTTTCCATTTATTTGCATTTCTTTTATTCTAGTTTCAGCTTTTTTGCATGATATACAAGTGTAGCATGGTGTGTTAATTCTTCCACAGTAGTTTTCTTTGGGCCAGAATTATTTACATAGTTTTATTTTTGGGTAGACAGTCGTTCTTTTTTTTCCACTCTTTTTTAAGGTAACCTTTTTATATAATAGTGAAAAATGTAAATATATTTTTGTAGCATTTTTACTATGTTAACAATCTATAGTTCACTACTTTTTTTTTTCAGTTGCACATAGGAAATGTTTATGAGGCTGGAAAATTGAATCTCTTAACAGTTATTCAGTTATTAAATGAAGTCTTGAAAGTAATGAAATATGAACATTGTCAGGCTAACCAAGCAAGACTGACAATAGACCTTCACTTCCTTGAAAAAGAGACCAAAGTTCAGAGAGAAAGATTGTCAGATCTGAAGCATATGAGGTACACTAGAAAGATCTTCTGTTATTTCACTGGGGTAGGAGTAGGGTGGTTTTGATAATTTCTCAGCACAACTCTTGTTTAGTTAACAACTCAGTAGCTTTGGCAAACAAGTGTGAAAATTTTACTCGTACTCAAAAACCTTATGTCACCAACTTCTAGAGAGACACATGAAGTAGCAAGGAAAATTAATGTAGTTTTCTTTTGTCTGGAGTATATTATTTGCCCTGAGTGATAATTCTTTATCAAATAATTCTGACTTTTCTCTAGCTTTTCTTTTGTAGGGTCTACTAATAGAACTAGGTTTTAAAAAATTTGTTTATATTGAGCAGGGTGACCGGGAGGTATGGGTTCTCTTTAGAAATGGATAGAGAGTAGGAGTAGAATTTCAACTTGAGTTCAGAACCAGGAAAAAATTGTATGGGATTGGCCAAAAAGTTCGTTTGGGTAACATCTTAGGGAAAAACCCGAACGAACTTTTTGGCCAACCCAATATTTTTAAAGATAAATAGGGTACAGATGTATGATTGCTATTTGGTATTAAAAGGAAACAAGGTATTTTAGATTCTGAACTCTCAATGGGAGAGTTTATGCAATTTAGGTGTGCTGAATTGGTTGAACTTTCAGTTATACTTTCTGCCCTTTCTCTACGAGCTATAATATTCTTACTTCAACACTTTTTCTCAGTGCTTCTTTTTATATATTCATGTTTTGAATGAAGTTCTTTTTTATGCCGTTACAGGTATAAAATAAAAGAAGATGTCTCAACTATAAAACATTCTATTGTTGAAAAACAAGAAGAATGGCATAAAAATTGGAAAGAATTTCTCGGCCTGTCTCCTTTCAGTCTAATAAAAGGTTGGACTCCAGTAAGTAATATTGACTTGACTTTTGGAGAGTAGTTTAATCTCTTGCAAACTCTTGATTTATCATGGTACAAATGACCTGGAAATGCTATATGTGTGTATGCTTCTCATCTTTGCATCTGAGCCTAAGTTCAAATATTTCGGTTTCTGTGATTTTTCTAAATACATATTAGAATGTTCATTAAGCTGCTGTTGTGATATAGTTTATATTTTTAGATTCAGTGGATTGTATTAAAAAGAAAATGAGATCGGGGAGAAGCTGGCGCTGAGGCTCAAGTCGCCTGTGGGGGCTGAGCCTGCTGTCTACCTGTGGCCGCTGCCGGTCTACGACAAACCTCACGATGTTGCTCACGAAATCCTCGAGACCATCCGGCTCAAAGATTTGGAAAGAGATAGTTTAGCAGAAAAGGAATGCATGAAGGAGAAGTGGAATCTCTTGCATGAATTTCTGCAGACAGAAAAAAAGAATCAGTTATGTGACTTGGAAACCAAATTACATAAAGAAGAATTATCAGAGGAGGGCTACCTGGCACAAGTCAAATACCTTTTTTTTTTTTTTTTTTTTTGCGGTACGCGGGCCTCTCACTGTTGTGGCCTCTCCCGTTGCGGAGCACAGGCTCTGGACGCGCACGCTCAGCGGCTGTGGCTCACGGGCCCAGCCGCTCCGCGGCATGTGGGATCTTCCCAGACCGGGGCACAAACCCGCGTTCCCTGTATTGGCAGGCGGACTCTCAACCACTGCACCACCAGGGAAGCCCCAAATCCCTTTTAAATAAAGATTTGTCCTTGGAGAATGGAGCTCATGCTTTCAGTCGGGAAGTGAATGGATGTGTAGAAAACGGGAGCCAGACAAGTGGTGAGGACCACAGAGTGGAAATAGCAGAGAAGAACAAGTCCCCCAGACCTGTTTCCAAACTGCATGCCCAGGAGAAGCAAGTCCGATGGAGAAACAAAATCTGAAGTCTCATGTAGCCCCAGGATTACAAGGCAAACTACCAGGCAGACCACCGTCACATCTCATTTCACAGGGGGCCCTGCCAAACGGAAGCCTGAGGAAGACACTGAAAAAGCAAAATCAGATGATTCTGTCGATGAAGAAGAAAAAGACCAGGAGGAAAAGAGACGTAGAGTTACATCCAGAGAACAAGTTGCTGGACTGCTCCCTGCAGAAGAACCGGGAAGAGTAAGACCAGGAACACACGTAGAAGAAGAAGAAAGAGATGATAAAGTAAAGCCTGGTCACCTCCAGGAAGAAAAGAGACTCAGAAGTCAAACCGAAGGACTAACACCTAAACAGAAATCTAAGGAGGAGCCAGACAGAGATGCGAGGCCCAGAGGAGCTCAGGCTGAAATGAATGAAGGAGAAGACAAAGATGAAAAGAGGCACAAAAGTGAACCCAAACATCTAGCTAGCAAACGGAGACCAGAAGTAAAAGAACCTGAAAGAGTAAAACCACAAGTTTCTGATGAGAAAGATGAGGATGAAAAGGTAACAAACGCACATGGTAAACACAGCAGTTCGACATGGTAAAGTTCCCCGTCAGAGCGAAGGGACCTGGACCGTATCCTCTGGGGGTCTGTGCATGCCCGAAGATGCAGAACATGAAGAACACTCAGTCCCCTGTGCAATCTAACAGCTCTAGTCCACATGTCTCACCCCAAACCCAGGACACTAGACCTACTAGAGCAGGAAGCAAAAATATGGTAGGACTCCTCGGAATGGCTGAGCCTTTGACCAAAGACCAAGCCCCACAGTCCCTATGAACACGTTGAGAATTTAGTTTGTTGCAAAGCAGTGCTCTGAGCTTCACAGCTATGGCGGGGGTGGGGGTGGGGGTGAGTCTCCATGGGACACACCCCGGCTAGAAGTCCCGAGTGGCATTTAATAAGTGACTCAAACAAGGACAATGTGCAATCCTCTTTTAATACTTCTGATCTCGGTGAAGAGCAAGTCTCACTTTGTTGCCAGTGCATCTCAAACCTTTCCATGCAGTTGGTTCATCTTTCAACAAAGACAACAGGATTTAGGTCCAGAGTTTTTGGCCAGTAACAGTAAGGATTACAATTTAAAAAAAAAAGAAATTGAGACATTCCTCTTTATTTTAGGTACTATTACATTTGAGGCATAGTTGGAGGGCAAAGTAGTCCTCTTGTTCCTAATATCATACTCCTTAGTTTAAAAATAGTTACAGGATAATTTGTATGTTTGCTAATTCTTTCTTCGTTAGGGAAAAAAAAACCATCCATTCCTAGGTTTGCTTAGTATTGTTACTGTGGTACTGAGTAAAGTGTGTATATTTCAAAATAACAAATTCTGTGTTTTAAGGCTGTGGATCTTTTACCACCTATGTCTCCCCTTTCGTTTGATCCTGCCTCAGAAGAAGCATATGAGAAGAGTATTCTTTTGCAGTACCCTGCTTCACTTCCAGGTTGGTTATTTTTTCTCTTTTAAACTTCAGTCTCATTAATATTTCTCACTGTGATAACAGTTCTTTTATAAACTTTCATGTTTTTTTTTTCCCAGTTATTTACTGTGGTGAAATGCACAAAGCATTTCAGTCATATGAGCCTCCGTTAACATAAGGCTTTTTGTGTCTCCTTTCTTTCAGTTGCACAGCTTTTTACTTTGCACAGTGTTTTCAAGGTTTATCCAAGTTGTAGCATGTATCGATACTTCATTACTTTGTTTGAATACATTCTGTTGTATGATTGAATCGAATTTTGTTGATCTGTTTGTCCTTTGATGGACATTTGGGTTATTTCCACCATCTGGCTATTATGAGTAATGCTGCTATAAATGTTCACTTACAAGTTTTGTGTAGAAGCCCACAATTTTTTAACATGAAAGAATAGTACAGTAATTACCTGAATACTTAACTGTTGCTTGTTTCAGCAGTTGAGATTTTTGCTTTAAATGTGTATGTTTGTTTGCTAAACCATGTAAGTCTGAGACCTTAACACTTCACTCTGTTTCAGCATGCATTCCCATGAAAATAAGGACTTTTTCCTCTTTAATTACCACACTAATGTTACACCTAAAATTAATAATTATCTCAGTTTCCTCAAATATCATACCATTATCACACCTAAAAAATTAATTTCTCTACAATATCTAATATCAATTTCATACTCAGTTTCACCAATTGCCTAGTATTTGTGTACAAGAAATTTTTATTGGGTTCAGTAAATGTAAGGTAGATAGGTGGAGGGATAAATGAATAAAAAATGTATGAATTATGTAGCCAATCTGGAGCAGATAATAAGTATAGGCTACAGTTGAGTTTAGGCAGGCCATCGGTCATGGCAGCAGTTAGCACAGGACTTAGGAAGAAAAAGGATGAACACAGCTAGGATAGGTGATTGCTTTGGGAGTCAGGTGTATGTGGGGAGGACACTAGTTGGGAAAGATCATAGACCAGAGAGCAAGGGTCAAGGATAGGTGCCAGCAGAAGAGTAGACACAAAAGACTGCATAGTTTGATGAATGAAAAAGATTTTCAGATACAGAGCATTGCTTATGATGATAGAATTACTTTGATAGTTCTTGGCATATTTGGTTGCCATTGTGTTCTCACTTCAGCATGGAAAGGGCCTTTGTACTCTTGGCATACTTAGTTTAGGCCCTGTGAAACCATGAAATTGTCCTCACGTCCATTTGGAGATTTCTATGTCGCCTTCAGAGTGAGGGAATATTTGTGTCTGTTTATGAAGTTTAGTTAGAAGTCCACATTTTAAAAGTGTTTGATAGGCTCTTTGGGGGTAACCCTTTCCTTCACACATTGCACAGTTTGTACTCTTGGGATTCCTTTTTTTTTTTTTCCTCTAGAGCCTTTGTCTGGGCTGGGGAACCTCAACATTATTTTATACTTTTTGTAGTAAACCACTTTACTTTGCTTAAAGTACAACAGCTTTTTCCCTCCTATACCTTACATATTACATCTTGCTGGAAGTGATTTTTCTTTTCAGTAGTTTTAAAAAATTACATTTTAGCATTATTAAGTACAGGAATATTATAAATACCTGTTTACTGAACACTCTTGTCAAATCTTTGCAGTATTTGCTTTAGTTTTTTTAAAAAGTACTAGTGTAGTTAACCCTTGAGTATCCACCCTTCCTTGAGTATTCTTTTTTTTTTAAATTGCAGTATAGTTGATTTACAATATTTTAGTTTCAGGTGTGCAGAGCATAGTGATTTTGGTTTTTTTTTTTCAGGTTATATTCCATTATAGGCTATTACATGATATTGGCTATAATTCCCTATGCTATACAGTAAATCCTGTTGCTTATCTATTTCATGTATTAAAGTAGTTTGTTATCTGTTAATCTCATACTCCTTTGTCCCTTTCCCCGCTTCCTTCTCCCCTTTGGTAACTGTAAGTTTGCTTTCTGTGTCTGTGAGTCTGTTTCTGTTTCGTATATAAATTCATTTGTATTATTTTTTAGATTTCGCATATAAGTGATATCATATAGTGTTTTTCTCTGACTTATTTCACTAAGCATAATATTCTCTAGGTCCATCCATGTTGCTGCCAGTGGCAATATTTCACTTTTGTATGGCTGAGAAATACCCATTGTGTGTGTATGTGTGTATATATATGCCACATCTTCTTAAGCTAATAATCTGTTGATGGCACTTGCGTTGCTTCCATGTCTTGACTATTGTAAATAGTGCTGCTATGAACATTGGAGTGCATGTGTTTTTTCAAATCAGAGTTTTCGTTTTTCCCGCCCATATACCCAGGAGTGGAATTGCTGGATCATATGGTAGTTCTATTTTTAGATTTTTAAGGAACCTCCATACTGTTCTCCATAGTGGCTGCACCAATTTATATTCCCCCCAACAGTGCAGGAGGGTTCCCTTTTCTCCACATCCTCTCCAGCATTTATTATTTGTAGACTTTTTGATGAGGGCCGTTCTAACAAGTGTGAGGTTGATACCTCATTGTGGTTTTGATTTGCATTTCTCTAATAATTAGTGATGTTGAGCATCTTTTCATGTGCCTGTTGGCTATCTGTATGTCTGCTTTGGAGAAATGTCTATTTAGATCTTCTGCCCTTTTTTTTTGTTTGTTTTTGTTTTTGTTTTGTGGTACATGGGCCTCTCACCGCTGTGGCCTCTCCCATTGTGGAGCACAGGCTCCGGACGCGCAGGCTCAGCAGCCATGGCTCACAGGCCTAGCCGCTCCACAGCATGTGGGATCTTCCCGGATAGGGGCACGAACCCATGTGCCCCTGCATTGGCAGGCGGACTCTCAACCACTGCGCCACCAGGGAAGCCCTGCCCCTTTTTAAAAAAATATTTTATTTATTTATTTGGTTGTACCGGGTCTTAGTCGCAGCAGGCAGGCTCCTTAGTTATGGCACGTGTGCTCCTTAGTTGTGGCTGGTGGGCTCCTTAGTTGCGGCTGGTGGGCTCCTTAGTTATGGTTTGCGGGCTCCTTAGTTGTGGCATGTGAATTTTTAGTTGCGGCATGCATTGATTGGGTTTGTTTTTGTGATATTCATATGTATGAGCTGTTTGTATATTTTGGATATTAACCCCTTGGCCTTGACTGTTCATTCTGCATTTGCAGAGGTAACCACTATCCTAAATCTTAAGTTTATTCTGATGTATGTTTATAAAAATAATTTTACTTTGAATCTAACCATACGTATACTGTTCTGCTGTTCTTAAGTTTATAAATAAAACTTCTCTTATCCCCCAACATGTTCTTTGTAAATGTTTGTTTTTGAACCAGGATCCAAGGAGGATTCACTCACTGTATATGGTTGTTTTGTCCTCTTACTTTTATTCTAGGATAATGCCCTACCCGTTAAAAAAAAAATGACATTGATAGAAATTCTTTTTAACAATCATTGTGTGTGATTTACCAATATATTTACTGATTTTTTTGGTCAGTATTACTTTTGTTCTATTCCTTCCTTTTGAGAGGTATACCTCAAAGTATATCTTTCACTTCTTCTAGTGACAGACCCTGAATAGTAAGATCTCTTAGTCTTTCTTTGAAAATATCTTTGTTTTTACTTATGAATGATAGTTTGGATTCAAGATCAACACTTATTTTTCCTTGGGACTTTAATAATATGATCTCATTGCTTTCTGCCTTCTTTTGTTTTCGAAACATTTGCTGTCTCTCTAATTGTCGTTCATTTGTAGGTAATTTTTGATCTCTGGTTGCTTTTAAGACTTATTTATTTTTGTATTATGCAGGTTCACTGAGCTGTGTCTAAATGTAGATTTGTTTTTATTTAGCCTGTTTGGAACTTGTGTGTGCTTATTCAGCGTGAAGGCTCATATCTTTCTTCAGTTCTGGAAACTTATTCACTAATATCTCTTGTAATATTACCCCCCTCTCTTATTCTTTTGGTCCTTTTCTTTTATCCCTCATATTATTGGGACTTCTAATTCTGTCCCCCATATCTCATAACTTCTCATTCATATTTATAACCTCTTTGTAACTCTGGACCTGCATTCTGGGTATTTTCTTTGTATCTCGCTATGGTTCACTAATTATCTCTTTATTTATGTTTAATCTCCTTTTTGACCTGTCCATTTAGTATTTAATTTTCATGAATGTATTTTTTATTTGCTTCTTTTTTCAAAACTACCCATTCTTTTTCATGGTGTCATCTTCTTTCATTATGGCCCCTGTTGTTTCTTTTTTGTTGATCATTTTAAATATATTGATTTTTATCTTTATCAATTTTCCCAGTATCTCTTCATTTCGGGTACTTCTCCGGTATGCTCTGCCTGCTGATGTTCTATTGAAATAATAATATTTAAATATTTGAATGAAATCTCAACTTCAGTGGGTTCCCCACCTCTGGAGGAGTCATGTGGGCCCAGGATTGCAGAAGGGTCTCTACAGAGTGGCCAAGAGTCCCAGGGATTTCTTTTGAACTAGAGCAGTTAATGTCTTTGGTTTGGGATTCCTAAAACAAGTAGCCAGTATAATTATGGATTTCACACCTCCTTTTGAGTAGGCTAGGTTTTAGATATCTTTCCTTCCTTCCTTCTATACTTTTTTTTCACCAAGGAGTCCAGGTAGACAGCAGGCTTTCCCTGTCCAGTTGGCAGAATTTTTATAATCCCTTTTTAGAGGCAGAGCAGTCTTTGCAGTGTCTTGTCTTATGGTGGTCTCTCAGATCCCAGCCTGAGAGGCCTGAGATGATGTTTCTTGTTACCATGTAGGCATTTAAATCTCCTGTGTTCAGCCCCTGGAGCCTGCCTCATTGAGCCCTTGTTTCTCAGTTTAAGTTTACCCTGCTTGTTGTGCTTTCCGTCTTTGGTTCTGTCATGTGATGATTTTTATTCTTCTGGGCTTTCCTTTTTTCTTACATTTTATTTAGTAGTTGTAGTGTTTTTACAGTAGGAGTCAGTGTCTGCTTTAGTTTCGTTTGCTTTGTAGTGGTGAGTTTAGTTTGTTTTAACCTCCTAAATGCACTATTATGACTGTGCCCTCCTTTGCTATCTTTGCATCTTAAGTTTAGTTTTCATCATTTCTTGCATGTGATTGTGTTCTAACTAGGTACTCTGCCTCCAATAGTTTATCTGTTCTGTATTCCAAATGGCTATCAGTGATCTTCCTGTAATGTAAATATGATCCTTTTCATCTCTTGGTGTAATACCCACCAGTGACTTTTGATCACCTATCACCTTTGGAAAAGAGAAAAAGGCTCTAGATGCTTTTTCACTTAGCAGCTTTTACCTTACAGACTTTCTTTCATACCAGAACAAATGTGCATGAACTCTGCCTACCACCACCAGATGGTGTTTAAAGTTATGCATCATCATTTTTATTTTTAAAAAATCTTTAAATTTAAAATATTTAAAAATTAAAGTATAGTTGATTTACAATGTTTCAGGTGTACAGCAAAGTGATTCAGTGATCTGAAATGGAACATATATATATATGTATACACACACATACACATACATATTTTTTTTCAGTTCTTTAACATTATAGGTTATAACAAGATGTTGAATATATCATCATCATTTTAGTTAATGGTTGTCTACTAAGCTTGTGGTATAGTTGTATTTGTGCTTACTTTTGGAATGTTTTATAAATAACAGTAACTCCATCATAATTAGTAGGTTCAAAAGCATAGGGTATTGAAAATGTTATGAGGTGGCATTATGATGAATTAAAAGGAAAACTTTACATAGTATACACATTGGCTTCTTACACAGTAACACTTTGGACACATGTATAAATAGTGTTTCAGAAGCTAACATGTTGAAAGAAGAGGAGCTCCTGGAATATCAAATCCTTTGAAACATAGCCATGGCTTTTGTCATCAATTTCATTGCCTATCATGCTTCCACTAGATATACCTTATGCTGTGGCACACGAAACATGCAACTTATTCTCTTAGTACTTTCATGGCTTCTTCATGTTCCCCACTCTGGGCCGGGTGCCTTTCTGCCTCCTTGCATTCTGTGCATACTTGTGTCATAATACTGTAGCAGTATACCATAATTCTGTACTGACTCCTTGAAGACAGGTCTCCATTTTTAATTTATTTTTCCTATTGTTAGTGCAGTAATGACACATAGTTATTAAATGATATGTTGAAGAATAAATACATAGGTTGACTGATGTCATAGATGCTGGGCTAAAATATGCTAAGTAGTATAACTTTTTGGCTGGTTTATGTGGTAATTGCATTATCTGTGTACTTAAACAAGAAGCATGGCTATATAATACTTGAGAATTATGAATTGTCCCTTTTTGGGAAACTTTGTATGAGCTATCTTTCTAGAAAAGCCTATTGTACATATTCTCCGTCACTGTCATGCATACTACTTTATACTTAATAATTGAATAATTGTCCTTTTCTTTAACATTTATTTTATTTTTCTGTTTTCTTCTGTTTAGAGGTTGTTGTATAACTTCAAGAGATCTCTGAATATTAGAATGTACAAACATAATTAAAGAGTAATTAATTTTTCTATTCCTTTAGATACACGTAAGCAACATACCCAGGAAGATGATTGCAGAAGGGCAAGTGATATACTGGAAACTAAATGTGATCTAGCCAACAGGTAAAAGAAATTTGATTTTCATATTGATTTTTTTTCTCTTAATTAATTTTAGTCCCATCTTCAGCCAGCTTTCAAGCTTCTCCACTGTGAGATAGCTCGTAACTTTCTTCTCTTAACCAGACAGTGTTTTTCTACTGCGGATCCACGTTTTCAGGAAAGATTCAACATTTCTGATGCAAGGGCATTTTTTTCCTCTATTCTTATCTAAATGTTGGGACTCATGGGGATTATGTAATTTTTGAAGAAAAAGACATATGTGAAAATTATTTAATGCAAGTTTAGGAATTTTTGCCTTTTTGTGTCTGTGAACGTCTTTGAAATCACTTGTGGCTGTTCGACTAAATCCAAGAGTTTAGGGACTTCTGAGATGATCTAGTTGGTAGTCTAGTTGGTAGTTTTCAGTCTGTGTTCTGCAGCGCCCTCTGGTGCTGTGGATGAATCAAATTTAACCTGTGACTGTTCCAGCGTTTCCCACTTCAACCTAAGCAGCCTTCTGTTTTATCTGTACTATATATTGAGGCTTTATATGCCATTTGATAAAAAGAGTTCTGTACTTAAAAAAAATTTTTTTGGGAAGACTTCTGATTCAATCTAATCCCAAAATTTAGCATATGAAAAAACTGAACCTAGCTAGTTTGTTGTAACTAGGAGTATTCTTACTTTATTTATTGTCTTTTTTCCTCTTTTATCCTATTTATCCCTTAAATAAACTGATGCCAGATTATAAAAGCAGAAATCTCTAAACTAAATGTGAATGTGTTTGTCCTTTATTGAAACTAAACATTATTAAGTAGCAGTCAAACACAGATATGCTAAATAGATTCCTTTATTATTTTGCTTTTTCTGATTAACCTTTGATTTAAATAGTCGATTTTCAGTTCAACTTCCCCATGTTAATGAGGCACAGATATGGAAACAAAATATTTAGGATAATTCTAAAAGAAAATTTTAAATGACTTGAGGCCCCCTTCATTCTGTATACTCTTAATAAGTTATTAAGTTGAAATACCGTAACTATTGTCAAAGCTTACATGTGAAATTATGCTATTGGCAGTTTCCTCTGCAAATTTTCTGGTTCATGGGAGGTCAGCACTACTTGTGGGAGAATTTTATTTTTGTTCTTAGATCTGGGTGTGATGTTGATTTTCTGAGTACCTAAAGAAATAGAATGAAATCTGCAGTGAAGACCTTGTAAAGTGAAGAAATTATAAAGTTATTGGGCTTGCTAATTTTACCCCCTTATCACAATTGTTCTTAAAGCATGCCTCTTAGAGGGAAATAGTCGGTGCTTCCCGATCTCAGTTATGTTTTTGGTCTGTCTTTCCTTGAGAGAACAGATGAAATATTTTGATTTAAGGTCTCTTGTTGGACTAAAGATTGATGGAGTTAGTAGATTAATTCACAAATCTGATTTTATTTATGAACTCCATTCAACCTCAAGATTCTTTCTTGAAGTAGAATTTTGTACTAAGATGTACTATCAGAATTCTACAGGAGCCAGATGCTCAGCCCCTAAGAATTTAATTCAAATAGAATTCTCTTAATATAGGAAAAAGTTGAATTAAATAATTTTTTGTTTGTTTGTTTTTGTTTGTTTGTTTGTTTTTGCGGTACGCGGGCCTCTCACTGCTGTGGCCTCTCCCGTTGCGGAGCACAGGCTCCGGACGCGCAGGCTCAGCGGCCATCGCTCATGGGCCCAGCTGCTCCACGGCATGTGGGATCTTCCCGGACCGGGGCACGAACCCGTGTCCCCTGCATCGGCAGGCGGACTCTCAACCATTGCACCACCAGGGAAGCCCCTGTATTAAATAATTTTGACTTCCACATTTATCCTTTTCTAAGCTTTTGGATCTTTTAACTGTCTTTTCACTCTTTATTTTACTTATAGGTTGGGATATTGAAAGGAGGTAGAGGAAGGCTTTTGGTGATGAGGGATAAACGCTTAATGGGAAATGAAAGATTATGACTGCCTAATAGGAGAACAGAAGAGAGGTAAAGAGTTGAGTTACTGGGATATGGAAGTAAACATGTTGCTCAGAATTCTTTACTGTAAAAGGTATTTTGTAATAAAATGTTTCATGTGTAACGTGGAGAGACTGCACTTAAAGAAATACCATTTTTGGCATGTAGTTCAGGTATTATACTAAATATTTTATTTGTAGTGGCATCATCTTACATCAGTATCAGTGTAGTTAATTGGGAAATTCATATGTGGATATGGTTAATATAATTATGCAGTTAAAAAGCATGAGATGAATGTAGTTTTTAGGGTAAGTGTGTTGTTTGCCCTTTCACGTGTGGTTTTCATTCACAAGTACTAAAGAATAAGTAGTCTTCTCCATAGATCTCCTGGCTTGATTTTGATCAGAGTGAGCTCATGGAGGCTGCACCATACTTACAATCAGAATTCAGTGATTGATGATGCCTTTGCTGTACACTGTGGGTACTACCTTTCTTTGCAGTGGTTTCTGGAAAGGAGGGTTCCATGATATTTCTAGTGGTGGTGATGCAGTTCTTCTAGACCTTTAACCTCTACGGTTTCTCCTTTACTACATTTCAGAGATAGGGCAGTATGATCTTGCATGCATTCCAAACAAACATCCTTAGTCTTAGAAATTGAATTCTAATCTCATTTTGTTATTTCCTTTCTCTTTTTTTTATTTCTCTGTTAATTGTAGACATATTATAACAACAACAACAAATGAAAATAAAAAATAATTAGCTAAAATTTCCAATTTCCAATAAATCACTTGTCAGATTCTTTCCGAAGTTCTTTTTTAGACTTTATTTCCAATTCCAAAGTCTTGTATTCTAAAATACAAAATTTTCTCAACATTAACATAGCATAAATGCAGTTTTTTAAAGTGTGTGTGTATATTTACTTAACATTATATTACCACTTAAAATAGCTTTTTAACATTTCATTTATTTTTAGACTTTAGGTTTTCCTCAAAATTTTTGCTGCTATAAAAAGCATGTCTTTTTTCTTTTGGTAGTGCTTTTAGGGTTAATTTCCACAGTGGGATCAATACCCTTTTTATCTGGATTTCATGGGCCTCAGTTTTGGCCTGGCAAGTGGGTAGAGAGTAAGGACTGAGCCAGGGCTGCTTTGAAGTTGACTTGAATTGAGATATTAACAAGGCTAATAGCATGTTGCCAATTCAGAAACGAGAGAGAGGAGGTATAGAATGTGGTTCCATTTTTCTCTATTATGAGACTCTGCAAGAATGATTCAGATAGAAAAATTTGGTGGCATCTATAGAACCTCATCTTCAAGTGACATTTATTCATTGATCCATCGTGTGGCACTGCCAAGCGCCAGGCACTGTGTTAGGACTTGGGAATAGCCTTTGGTAAGACATAGTCATCATCCTCAAGGAGCTCACCAGTCTTTTGGTGGCATCTTAATGGCATTGGTCCATAGCTTGCTGGCCCTGCTTCAGAGGGCTTTCTGATCATTTTAACGTCAATTTTGGGGAAGAATGTGGATAAAATCACACTAGATAGTAATCACTAATCTTTTGCCTTAGATATCTAGATTATATCCTGTCGAAGCGAATTTGAAACTTGAGCGATTTCAGTGATTTTGAATTATGTTTGGAAGGTAGATTTCAAGAAGGGCATATTTGAAAAAGTTTGAAAGGCATATTTGCTATTATATAAAATATTTGCAAAGTTGTTAATTTTGTACTTTTCTGTCTGTGAACGGAAAGAAAAACACTGGCATGCTTGATGTTGAAGGTGGTTTCTGTGGTAATCCTGCCTCCATTTTACCTAGAGTAGAAAAGCTTTTGGTCAGTGAGCAGACCCAATCCATGATTGAATTTGAAGGCACTTTCAAGATGAAGATAAATAAAGTTATCATTACTTTGAAGGCTTAAAAAATTTAATAACTTACTTTGTAATTATAGTGAAAAGATGCATAAGGTTTTCACGTTAACCAAAAGGGGCAAGAGAATCTAAGAGATTAAGGAACACTATGTGTGGAATGCTGCAAATTCAAATTGAATAACCTCATGACTTTACTGTAAGTGTAATGTATTTGCTATAGAAAATTCAGCATAAGAGAAATTGATTTTGGACCTGAAATATCAAAAGAATCTTAGTCTCTGCTACAGTGCTTCTGTGGTCTGAAGCCTGAGGACATTGTAATAATGTGATTCTAGTTAATTGAATTTTTTTCTTTAATTTATTTATTTTTATTTGTTTATTTTTGGCTGCATTGGGTCTTCGTTGCTGCGCATGGGCTTTCTCTAGTTGCGGCGAGCGGGGGCTACTCTTTGTTGCGGTGCGCAGGCTTATTGCGGCAGCTTCTCTTGCTGCAGAGCATGGGCTCTAGGTGCAGGGGCTTCAGTAGTTGTGGCGCACGGGCTTGGTTGCTCTGCGGCACGTGGGATCTTCCCGAACCAGGGATCAAACCCATGTCCCCTGCATTGGCAGACAGATTCTTAACCCCTGTGCCACCAGGGAAGTCCCTAATTGAATTTGTTTTTACCTTGTACTCAAGTTTTTGAGTGTTCATCAAGTCATCCAACCCTTGTAAAAAATGCTGTTGACTTAAAATACATACTGGGTAAGGAAAATGTTCATTAGTTTGGGAGGCTGATACACAAATTGGGCTGAAATACTGCTCTAATTGTCACTATACTTCCCTAGAATAATAAACTGCCTTTTGATGACCGGGACGAATTGAGTGAAATCGTAACGGACAGATACGGGGCAGACAGTTTCCTTAGAATATTCAAATACATCAAGTGAATGGAATTCTTTCTTACTCATAACTTGGATTTATTAATTTTTTTTCCTTTTAGCCCTGCTTCTTTCCTGTTGCAGCCCATTTCACCATCAGATAGAAACAGTGTTACACTACTTGAAAAGGTACATTTTAAAACAATTTAAAATTAATTCTGACCATACTCACATATGATAAAAATATTCTTTACTTTTGTTGATATCCCAATTAAATTTCTATTTTCACATTTCCTAGTATGTGCACATTATCTACCATTCCTGTTTACACATTAGTTATTACTTCTAAATGGGAATACTGGAATTTTTAAACTGTGCCAGTGAACATTTAATTTTACAATAATGTTAACCTTTTATAGATTAACATTAATGAAGATCAGGTACAATGAAGATCAGGTACAATTATTAACGTTTTAACATTACATGTCTATCTTATTCAGGACACGAAGTTGATGACTCCTAGAGAGAAAAATGAAACAGTTTCTAAGAAAACATCAGAATTTGAAGCGGAAGACTCTTCATCATCAAATATTGCAAAGAGTAGTGCATTTGGAGGGTCTCTGCCAGCTAAAAAAAGTGATCCATTCCAAAAAGAGCAAGATCATCTGGTAGAAGAGGTTAGAAAGAGATTGTAATAAGTATACTGAAATGTCATTTTCTAAATGGTGTTGGGATTATAAGTGAAGTACAGTTAATTATTGATTAGGTGTAATTTGGGAAGGAGGTCACAGACAATAAAAATCATGGTTAAAGCAGAATTGGTCCTCCCCAAAAGTAGAAACAGATATAAAATAAACTTATTTAGTTAAGATTATATCCGTGGTTTAGAACCCATGTCCCATTCTATAACTATCCAAAAGTATAAAAATAATACATGTATAATATTTTTGGAATTAACCATTACATAAATTGTTGGATAAATACACCCAATGATTATACTTATTAAAATACTCTGCGAATGTTATCTGTTGCTTAGCTGAGCTTCCTCTTTTTTTGAATTTTAGAACAAAGACTATACAGTATATTATCACCAAGTGAAGGTTTTGTCCTTCTGCTTTTTAAATATTTCAAAAGTGAATAAATACATGATTGTTTATGATCTTGGTTTTCTTAACCAGCTCTGTTCCTTAATAATTTTCTACTTTTCACTGGCAAGTGACCACATAATACGACTATTGCTGAGTATTACAGAACTCGGTTTATACAAATGAAATGGTCAGGCCATTCTTTAATGTTATTTTTATTACATATTTCCCATTGTTTGAATTTGGATTATCTGCCAGAAACAGAAACAGCCAGAAAATAAATCAGCTGTTTTACATTCCTGAGAGACTGAAAGAAAAGTTTGGTTTAGTGCATATTGATTCAGGTATTGGAGTTCCCTCCTTTATCTTGATCGTGAAAAAAGTTAATAAATATTGTCCAAATAAGAGAGCTGGCTGTCAGTCATTTTTCTTGTTTGCAACTTGAGGAAGTTGGACCAGTTTCATGGTCTCTAAATATTTTTAAATCTCTAAAGTTCTGTTGTTTCTCTGTATTAGTTGATTGACTCTATAATAAAGAAAAGATGATTAGTCATTCTTTTTTTCTTTCCTGATACGGGAGGAAAGGCACATTTTCTGGTTAAAAGAATTTACAGTAGCAGTGGAATGAGATAGGATGGAAGAGGAGAGCCCTAAAATCTCATAAAACTCTGAAAGTAAAGTGAAATTAATTCTCTTTAATAGTGTTTATGACAAGGAATATTTAGTGTTAGAATTCTAAGAAGCCCTCTATTTTTATGGAGGAGGAGTCAGTTTGATTATGGTTGTAGGCAGTTTCTTTTTTTCAGGATTTCAGGGTGCAGAGATTTTAATTTGCTTGTTTTTTGCTTTCTGGTTTTATTAAAATGTTAATACAGAGTGCTATTTCCATATTGTACACTTTCTTTTCTCTATTTTAGAAATGTATCCCTATGTTTTCACTAATTTATGTCTGATGATGAGGTTTCTGGCAAAGAAGTTTGTTGTCAGAATGTACTCTGTTTATTAGTAGAGGTGTTACTGTGCGGTGGATTATAATTAAGAAGAACCTGCATGCTTTAGAACCAGTCATTTTAGCAGATATGGAATTGTGAAGCTCAAGTGTGGCAGATAGTAATTCAGATCACTGCAGTCAGAACTATATCTAAATCTTTCCAAGTGTAAAGATTTCTTATCTTTTCTCTCCTGTGTAACAGGATATCCATTTAAGATAAGGGAGGAAACAGGGTTTGGGTTTGATTTCACCTTAATAGGATTGTGCCTGGAGAGTCTATATGGAGTGCCTGGGAGCTACATTGTTGAGTTTATTTTTGTGCTTATTGTTCTTATCAGGGCCTTTGTTGCATTCTACCAGTGGGCTTGGTAATTTTTGCTTTACTTTTTCTTTTCTGTTTTAGGTTGCAAGGGCAGTTTTATCTGATTCACCACAGCCTTCTAAAGGAAAAGAAGTAATATTAGAGGAACTAATTGACTCTCTAGCTTCCAACCCATTCTTAACAAGGAATCAAATTCCCCGAACTCCAGAAAACTTGAGTAAGTTAATAATGTTTTTTGTCACTATTTTCTTTCTTAGACATTACTACTATTAGAACCATGGTCTGACAAATCTTTTGGAAACTCACTTTAAAACTTTTTTTCTGTATCTTTCAATTTAGTGGCATTGGCTCTATTTGTTTTCATGTGGGGGACTTTTATTGAAATATCAACTGTGGGCACTGTCACCTATATGGCAGTCCTTCAGCAGTATTATTTTGCCCTGGAACTGTACAGTTTTGTTTTTGTTGTTTTACTTGGCTTTTTCGTGGCAAATATTTTAGTTGATCACTTCAGAAATATCCTCTGCCTCCACACCTGATCTGTGATCAACATTTATAGAGTATGGAGGCTGTATTCTTCCAGTCAACAACCAGCAGCATCAGCCAAAAACTCTGTACAGAGATCTTACCTACCTCTCCCAAGCTAATCAGACTCCCCAGTACTTTCTTCTTACAACCTGTATTGTGTGGGCAAAGTTCGGATATTCTTGTCTTCATGTAGGCACATCATGCTGGGTGAGTGATTAGATATATAATTTCCATTTTGCTACTAGAAATGACATATCCAAAGTTAAATGGATTCAGTTCAGGTTGAACCTAGCCACTGTATAGATTGGTGGTTGGCAAACTACATCTTGCAAACCAAATCTGGCCCACCCTATGTGTTTTTGTACATAAAGTGGCATTGAACACAACCTTGTTCATTTGTCAGCATATCGTTTATGGCTACTTTCACATTACAGTGGCTGAGTAGTTACCACAGATAAGATGGCCTGCAATACCTGAAGTATTACTATCTGGCCCTTTATAGAAAAAGTGTGTGTTGTGTGTGTGTGTGTGTGTGTGTGTATACTGTATATATGTAAGTATATAAATAAATATATATATATATATGCATGCCAAACCCTGGCCTAGATGGGCAAGAAAATATCTTTTTTTCCATTTATTTGTTTGTTTATTTATTTATAAATAACATCTTTATTGGAGTATAATTGCTTTACAATGGTGTGTTAGTTTCTGCTATATAACAAAGTGAATCAGCTATACATATACATATATCCCCATATCTCCTCCCTCTTGCGTCTCCCTCCCACCCTCCCTATCCCACCCCTGTAGGTGGTCACAAAGCACCGAGCTGATCTCCCTGTGCTGTGTGGCTGCTTCCCACTAGCTATGCTATCTATTTTACATTTGATAGTATATATAAGTCCATGCCACTCTCTCATTTCGTCCCAGCTTACTCTTCCCCCTCCCTGTGTCCTCAAGTCCATTCTCTACGTCTGCATCTTTATTCCTGTCCTGCCCCTAGGTTCTTCAGAACCATTTTTTTTTTTTTAAGATTCCATATATGTGTGTTAGCATACGGTATTTGATTTTCTCTTTCTGACTTACTTCACTGTGTATGACAGACTCTAGGTCCATCCACCTCACTACAGATAACACGATTTCATTTCTTTTTATGGCTGAGTAATATTCCATTGTATATATGTGCCACATCTTCTTTATGCATTCATCTGTCGATGGACACTTAGGTTGCTTCCATGTCCTGGCTATTGTAAACAGAGCTGCAATGAATATTGTGGTACATGACTCTTTGAATTATGGTTAAGAAAATATCTCTTTAATACATGTGATTTGTGTGTGCTGTGTGAAAGTATATGCACATTTCAGGAACACGTTTCATTTTTTGTGTGTGGTCAGTTGGAGATGGAATTCTTTGATGTTGTTGGGCTTTGGTGTATTGTGGAGCCTTGTCATCCAACTGGCATATTTATGAACATGTACTGAGTCAGAAGTTTTATCTTAAGCACTAGAAATGAAATGTTTAATTGCATGTTCTATTTGGGAATTTATTAATAACTTGTGTTATTTCCCCCTTCATTTAATCAGTAAGTGAAATTAGGAGCTCATGGAGAAAAGCTGTTAAAATAGAAGATAACAGAAGTGCAGAACCAATTCAGATGGATACTGAACATAGAGAAGTATTGCCAGAATCCTTACCTGTGGTGCATAATCAAAAAGAGCTTAACGTGGACAGTTTTTTCTCAGCAACCACTGTGTCCGATTCTAGCCATTCTCATTTGCCTGAAGAGAAAGTTGTTTCAGATTGCCTCAAGTGTGTGCTTCAGAAACCTGTGGTAACCAGTTGCATAGGTGAACCAACAACACAGAATGTGTCAGATTTGTTAAATAAGGACATAATTTGTAAGCAAGATTTGGAATGTACAGCTTTACAGAACAAGTTTTTAGAAACTAGCCAAATAGAGACATCCTCCCCTGCTGTAGGCAATAGGAGAGATGTGATAGGTAGCAGTGAAGAAGAGTATATTAAAATATCAGACCACTCGAAAGCTTCTTACAAAGATCTTTCCATGCATAAAAGTATGTTATGGAACTCTTTTCAGATATCAAGTGGAATTAGTTCCAGTTTTAAAGATAGTGATTTTGGCATATTACATGAAACTCTTCCGGAAGAAGTTGGTCACTTAAGTCTTAATAGCTCCAGTAGTACAGAGGCCAATTTTAAACTGGAACCAAATAGCCCTATGCACAGTGGCATTTTCCCAGAAGGTGCTGTGGGAGGAAGACAGAATACTCCAGAATCAGACTTTAATTTACAGGCTACTTGGAGTGGATATGAGGCTCTGAAGAAATCTGTGCCCAAGCAAAGGGAAGAAATTTGCCTCTCTAATCCTGAAACACTTGAAAGACACAAACCAGAATTGAGCCTTACTTCCCAATACATGCAAACTGATGATATGCTTAACTTTTGGGGCACTCATGATATGCACATTGACTGTACAAAACCATCTTCACGCATGTCCCTTGGTGAAAGAAAACGGTCTCTTTCACCACTAATTAAGTTTTCTCCAGTGGAACAAAGATTGAGGACCACAGTACCATGTAGTCTTGGAGAACGTCTACCTAATTTAACAGGTAAGATTTAACTAGATAATGTGCATATTAACCTGCTGAAGTTTTCTCTCACCTTCTCCTAAAAATAGCATGCAGTGAATGTTACATGATCTTTATTGTTAATATGACAAAATATGCTCCTTATTCCTTCAGCTAGGATGAGAAGAGTAAACCCATCATTTTTATGGGTACTTTCAGAATGTCTAGTGATTTTTTTTTTTTTTTTTTTTTGGCGGTACGCGGGCCTCTCACTGTTGTGGCCTCTCCCGTTGCGGAGCACGGGCTCCGGATGCGCAGGCTCAGTGGCCATGGCTCACAGGCCCAGCCGCTCTGTGGCATCTTCCCGGACCGGGGCACGAACCCGTGTCCCCTGCATTGGCAGGCGGACTCTCAGCCACTGCGCCAACAGGGGGAAGCCCTTCTAGTGATTTAGCTTACAATTGGTATGGGACAGGGGTGGAAAACAAAACCAAAAACCTGAAACCTATTGCTTTTGTAATAGAAACTACTGAAAGTAAACCTTGTCAAAATCTTTTTGGCTAATGGAAGGTGGTTCTAAAGTTGAGAAACGCTATGTTAAATATCATTATAATATAGTGGGACTTCCCTCGTAGCGCAGTGGTTGAGAATCTGCCTGCCAATGCAGGAGACACAGGTTCGTTCCCTGGCCAGGAATATTCCACATGCCGCAGAGTAACTAAGCCCATGCACCACAACTACAGAGCCTGTGCTCTAGAGCCCACGAGCCACAGCTACTGAGCCCATGTGCCACAACTACTGAAGGCCATGCACCTAGAGCCCGTGCTCTGCAACAAGAGAAGCCACGGCAGTGAGAAGCCCACACACAGCGATAAGAGTAGCCCCTGCTCGACACAACTAGAAAAAGCCTGTGCGCAGCAACGAAGACCCAACACAGCCAAAAAATAAATAAATTTGAATTAAAAAATAAATAATATAGTATCTGTGGTTTCGTTTGAAATAATTTGATGGGGGTGCAGTGACAAAACAAGGTAGGTCATTGTATTACTTTCCTAGGGCTGCCGTAACGACGTACCACAAACTGGGTGGCTGAAGACAACAGAAATTTTTTGTCTCTGGAGAAAACAAGTTCTGGAGGCTAGGATTGAGAATCAAGGTGTTGGCATGGCCGTGTTCCCTCTGAAGCCACTAGAGCAGCGGTCCCCAGCCTTTTTGGCACTGGGGACCAGTTTCGTGGAAGGCAATTTTTCCATGGTGGGGGGTGGGGAGGTTCAGGTGGTAATGCGAGGGATGGGGAGTGGCAGATGAAGCTTTGCTCGCTCGCCTGTCACTCACCTGCTGTGCGGCCTGATTCCTAATAGGCTGCGGACGGGTAGTGGTCCACGGCCCGGGGGTTGGGTACCTCTGCACTAGAGGATGATCCTTCTTGATTCTTCTAGCTTCTGATAACCCCCAGGTGTTCTCTGGCTTGTGGCAGCATAACACATTTCTGCCTCCATCTTCACATGGCATTCTCCCCTTGTGTTCCGTGTACCTTCTTATAAGGACATCAGTCCTGTAGATTAAGGGCCCATCCTACTCCCATCTTACCTTTTTTTTTTTTTTTTTTTTTAAATTCTTTTTGGCTGAGTTGGATCTTTGTTGCTGCGCGCGGGCTTTCTCTAGTTGTGGTGAGTGGGGGCTACTTTTTGTTGCGGTGCACGGGCTTCTCATTGTGGTGGCTTCTCATTGCGGAGCACGGGCTCTATGCGTGCGGGCTTCAGTAGCTGTGGCTCGTGGGCTCTAGAGCGCAGGCTCAGTAGTTGTGGTGCACGGGCTTAGTTGTTCTGTGGCATGTGGGATATTCCCGGACCAGGGCACGAACCTGTGTCCCCTGCATTGGCAGGCAGATTCTTAACCACTGTGCCACCAGGGAAGTCCCAGAATAATGGTAATTTTATTGCAGTTACATATTTGCATGTGAACTTTTTACTGAAATTTGCTACTACTTGGAATTTGTCCTATTTTTTCTTTATAATGTTTGCTTATCCTTTTTTCTCTTTTTGAAGTCAATTTTGCAGAAGAAGAAATCTTGAATAAGAGCCTTGATGCCAAAGAATCTCCATCCGACTTGAAAGATGAAGTAGTAGCCCAGTCAACTTAACTATGATGAACTTAAGTTGAAGCAATGTCACAGGATAAAAACATTTGTAATTTAAATACACATTGGAAGTGTAACTTTTTCAGGGTCTAAAAAAGTCCTAAATAATGCTTTTTAGCCTTCTCTACTGATTTTAAGTAAGGAGAGTATGTTTGGATTTTCTCTCTCTGTATGGATATGGGGTTGAAATGTGAAGTATTTGGAAAGCAAACAAGTTATGAGAAGCCATTTTGGTTTCTTGGATAATCTTGTGGGCATGAAATGGCATAGTATTAGGTTTACTAATTCATTATGTTCTAATTTCAGTTAATTAACATAAGGATGAGTAGTTTTTAATGTGTTTTATTAAGTGGTTAACTTAATAGCCATTGGATATACTGATCTTTCTTTTTAGGGAAATATACAACTTTTATTGTTTCTTTTTACAACATTCTGGTACTAAACAAAAAAAGTGAGGAAAGTAATGCTTTGGGGTGTATAATCAAAATGACAAAGTTTAAGTTTGGGAAAGCTCTAAAGAGGCTTAATGATTATTCAGGTAGGTTGATCCTGGAAAATGATGTTTGATGGAATAAAGTGCATGTGATGATAGTGAAGACTGGAGCAGAATGAATTTAGAAAAAAGGAAAAAGGCAGAAGATGACTAGATACTTTTGAGGGACATTATAAATCCATTCAGTGGGTTGTATAGCAGTTTTATATTTAGTCTAATTTAGACTTTGAGAATTTAACTCTAGTTTTTTATTTTAACAGAAAAAGTGTAAATTAAAAAATTAGTCTGTTTGGTTTTTTTTGGAGGGGCACTGTTTTTGGGGAAGGGAGCTAATTTTTTTTTCAATTTTTAAAAAATTTTTTTATTGGAGTATAATTGCTTTACAATGTTGTGTTAGTTTCTGCTGCACAGTGAAGTGAATCAGCTATACTCATACACACATCCCCTCCCTCTTGGACCTCCCTCCCCCTCACCCCCCATCCCACCCAACTAGGCCATCACAGGGCACCAAGCTGAGCTCCCTGTGCTATACAGCAGGTTAAGGGAGCTAATTTTGATTGTTACTTTCCTCCTCAAAAACCATCAGTTCCTCACTGCCTACAGAATAGCTTCAGATTAACGAGAAAATTGAATTTGCGGTTAAATAACTTGTTCAGTGTTACACAGCTAAGTCAGTGGTGAAGCTAGGATTTGACCTTATTTTCCTTCCTTAATATACCAACAAGACCTCCTAGAAGTAACTAAAAGGCCAGGATTTAGGATATGGCTGCAGGAGTGGGCCTTCTGGACTCTAAATGGGAGTCAGATGTGAGGCCTCTTGTACAGTGTCCTGCCTCATGTAGTTAGACCCCCTGGCCAAGAAAACGGCTTGTCTTTAGCATCCAAGTGATGAATACATGCCATTGCCCTCTGCGAACCAGGTTGTTAAGCACACACTGGAAGGGTGGTAGCACCTACAGCACCCGTGTCTAGCCTCAACTCTTAACCATCACAGCCTTGTCCAGTTTGCCAAGAAACTGGCAAGAAGAGGAGAAAAGTTGAAGAGTTCTGGAAGTGGATGGGCTTAATACTTCATCTTTCTTCACTCATTTTGGCTTACTTTCTCTGTTGCTTGTTTGATCCAAGTTTGAAGGCCAGTCTTTTTTTGTGAGAAAAGACAGAAGAAAAGCACAAATAACTGCCTTCTTTGCAGTGGAAAAGAAAGAGGAAGAGAAAAGCTTCTCCTAAGGTGCCATATCCTTTTATTAGTTAACAGAACAAATAGGGACTCTCTAAGTCTACTGGGAAACTGTCCTCTAGTCTTAAGAAACCTAATATTGGTAAATCCAAAATTAACATGCTAAGGAGAAGGTATTAGCATCTACAAAGGGCCAGAGCTATTCCTGGATACTTAATATATCATTTAAGTCTTATACTTCTGTAAGATAGTGATATTGTACCTATTTTACAGGTAATGATACCGAAGCTAGGGAGCTTAAATGACTTGTCTAAGATGGACTTGAGGAATTACCTGGAATACATCTTAAAAAAACATATATTCTGTAGGTCTAAAGTGAGGATTAGAAATCTGCATTTTAAATAGCTGCCCTGGTAATTCTTAGGCTCAATAAATAGCTTGAGAGCCACTGCTAGTGGATAGAGATTCACATTTAGCCCTGGGGTATCTTAAAGAAGCTAGGTACACTATTACATTCTGCTTTAGAGATATGAGCTCTCTGATAAGGAAGCTGAAGTTCATCAATAAGTGTGGGCCCTGAATTAATGGGAATCACAAGACCAAAATATCTTTGGATATTAATAGATTTAAAAAAACCACATCGTTGTTGAGTCACACCTGTGAAAGGCTGAGAGTTTTTGGCATTCTTCCCTGTCCTTTGTATGCCAGTAGTATAAACAAAAGTATATTAAATCTGTCACTTTCTCCTAAACCATTTTGATTATGACTCCTCTTCCTTATCCAATATTGCCTGCATTACCTGCCTTTTGACCTTAAGGGACTGCTTTGACCATATCACTTCTTTGTTTAAAATTCCATTAATGGTTCATTGTTAATTCCAGAAGTGAGTTCAAATTTAAAGGCATATAAGGTCTCCTTCATAGATTCCTCTTTTCCCTCTTCCACTATGATCTCCCCCCCACCTTTTTTTTAACTGAAATGCTTTGGTGGGCATGTGTCTTTAAAAATCTTAATGCACAGTTCTGAAGCTGGAATATCCTACCTTCATCTCCCAGCCTTTCAGTTATAGTTTGTCCTTTAGGGTTCAGAACAAATCTCACTTTCACCTTGAAGTCTTAATCTCTTATCCCTGGGACTGTCCCTTCTCTGAAATTTCCTATGGCTTATGTTAACTTTTATTCACTTAGTATTTTTCATTTATTGCTTTTATTGTATTTTTTCATGGTTGTGATTTCTCCAGTTGTATTGATTAAATACATACAGACATATACTTACGTAGATATGTGTGTGGGGTGTGTCCACACATACATATACTCCAAGGGCCATAGATCATCCTTAGCAGATACTGAAGTATTGGAATTGTTTTCTTTGCCTCTGTGTGATGGAATTAAAGTAATGGTAAAGACGGAGGGCTACTTTATTGCTGTAAGAGTACTTTTTCTCATTACATTCACAGCAGAATATACCTTGTTTTATTCACTATTCATAAGATGGTGTGTAAACTGACTTCTCTATCAGTTTGAAACTTTAGACAATGCCCTTATGTTCTAATTGTTTTAAATGTTTAAAGACAACAAGCATATAATGTTGCTTAACATGAAAAATGTTATCAAGTGGAATAAAGACTATTGGTTGTTAAAATCAATTTGGGGGAATTTAATTGAAAACAAAAATACAAGTATTTTGAAAGCATTCTTTACCATGTGTTTCTTAACCATGATCTATGGAGTCAATTTGATTTAAATTCTTGAGACCTGTATAAAAGGAAATCCTGTTTTTCCCCTACTCTGAGTATACTAAAATTAAAGAAGATAGGCTTAAGGACATTTTCCTTAATGTAAAGAAAGTATTTGCTAAAGTAAAGCTCTCTTTCACATTAAGTTGCACATACATAGTTGATATACCTTTTGCGTTACGCACTGTGAATGTTGAATTTAAAATATTTGTGAGTCCTCCATGGGACTATCTGTAAATGTTTTACATACTAGTCTTGAATAAATATTCAGTATTATACCACCTAGCTCTAGATTTATTAAATGTATTTTAAAATGATTTTTAAAAGTACATATATACCCTCAGAGTTCATTTGGAGTCTATACTAGCTTATTGCCAAAGGCCCTAATTAGACTAGTTTAATAACATATCTGAACAGCTTCTTGCTCTTCATGGGTAGGGATCTTGTCATCCACAGGTGCTGCTATAAAGGATTTAATAAATGTTAAATAACTTTATAAAGGTTTGGAAATTCCCTATCACTTATATTTAATGTCTGTAAATAGAGATAATGCCTCATTTGTAAAATGAGGTGAGAGGAGTTGATCAGAGGTGTTTTGGCTCTAAGATACTAGATTTCATTTAAAACAATCTATGAGGCGGCTGTAACGGGGCACTTTAGGTCTGTTTTTTGATTTCACTATACCACACTGCCAATTCAAAATAGGAACCTTAGAATTCTTCCCCCAAAGTATGTAATCTAAGAATCTGATTCAAAATTATCCAATTTCCAGACAAATACAGATGGGAAAGTGATCTTGCCCAAAGCAAAACACTATTCTTTGAGAAGTCATTTAACTTCCTGGCTTCAGTTTACTCAATCTATAAAATTGGGGAATTTATATGAAGGAATAATGTACAGCTAAAAAGCTAGGATTTTTATGATGAAGAGTTAGGAGAGGTTAGGAGAGGATCTGCAATTACACTGCCTAGGTTCAGCTGTATAACCTTAATAAGGTCATACCAATTTTCTCATCTATTAACAGATAAAAGTAATCTACCTCACAGGTTGTGAGGATTAAGTAAGAAAATGCACATCAAGTATTTAAGAATACCTGGGATTTAGTAAGGGCTTAAATACTTAGCTAGGCTTCACATCCAGTAATTTGGGAGCGGGGAGGAAGAATGGCTCAGTGGGTGGTATTGACAGCTGACACATTACTGAGTATGTGCCAGGTACCATTCTAAATGTTTTCCATGTTGCTTTAATTTAATCTTAATCCAATAAAGTAGTGCTATCCTTATCCATATTTTACAAATGAGGAAACAAGCACAGTAAAATTAAGTACCTTGCCCAGTTCACAGAGCTAGTAAGTGAAGGGACTAGAATACTAACTCAGCTCAGGTGGTCTAGCTCGAGACCGTTCTCTTAACCACACTGCTACAGTTGCTATGAAACATCGTTAAGGTGATGGGAGCCAAGATCACAAAATCAAACTTACCAGTTAAGCAATACTTGTGGGCAATCAGAATCTATAGCTTTAATATTAACCACCTTCAAATTATTTCAAATAAGACCATATTTTAAATTGCTAACAGCAAATGTTTATTCATGGTTGAAGCCAAAAAGAATTTATAAATGCATTTTAATACCTTGCTGATAAAATAACATTCCACCTTTGCAACCTTGTAAGGAATACAGGAAGATATTGTAAAGGCTTTGATGTGTATATCTATTATAACCAGGTAATCAGAACACACACACACACACACCACCACCTACTTTAGTGTTAACACCATACCAACTTTTCAGAAAGGCCATCTTGAAGCTCTACTGGATAGCTGAGTAAATAGCGTCCAAGGCTTGAAGACTGGGGAGAAGGGAAGAAAGGGATGGAAGAAGTAAGCAGCACACATTTCAAAGCCCACTTTTAAGCACACGACATTATGAACATTAAAAGAAAAAGGGGGAAGGCAATTCAGCATTTTCAGAGAGCGCATTTTGGCAATATTCAACGCATAAGAAGGCTGTGCTTGGGACCATCCACTCTCTCCAGCTTCTCAAAGTGTTTCCTGGCATTGCGAATGTTGATCAGAGTAGCTGCAGAAGGGATCGACGGATCTGACATAACCACCATCACGTACGTGTTTGATGTGAAGATGTCGATGAACGCAGCGAAGTTAGAATTCCTAACCTCCATGCTCTGGAAAGAAGCGGCCAATTTACTGCAGCT